TATTATGATTCTTTAAGAAACGGTCCATTCTGTGTCAAAGAAGTCTGGCAAGAAGGGTGACATGCTGCTTAAAATAGACCTTGCTAAGGCCTATGATCGTCTTGACTGAAACTTTCTGGAGGAAACTCTACAAGCAGTGGGACTCCTGCTGATGGAGTAAGACTGATCATGACCTGTGTCACCACAACTGAACTCCAAGTTGTCTAGAATGGAGGTGAAATAGAGGCTTTCCAACCTGGCAGAGGACTTAGACAGGGATGTCCCTTCTCCCCTTACCTTTTTACGTTATGCATTGAACGATTAGGACATTGCATCACTAGGGAGGTGAATGATGGTAGATGGAAACCTGTTAGGTTGTCTAAGGGAGGACCTGGTTTGTCTTACCTTTTCTTTGCTAATGACCTGGTTATCTTTGCTGAGGCAAACCTGAGGCAAGCTGATGTTGTCATGAATTGCAATGAGAAATTCTGCTTGGCCTCAGGAGAGTTGATAAGCAAGGAAAAATCATGATTGCTGTTCTGAATTCAATCCCTAACTATGCTATGCAATCTTCTGTTTTACCCATGTCTGTCTGTGATGAGATCGATCGTAAGATCCACAGTTTTGTGTGGGGGGGGGGGGGGGGGGGGGGGGGGGGGCTAAAGATGAAAAACGCAAAGTCTATTTGATTGATTGGGAAACCATTTGCAAACCTAAAAGTCAGGGGGTCTTGGGCTCAAGAGTGACCGTTGTCTGAATTTAGCTTATCTTGTTAAACTTGCTTGGCAGATTCTTAAGAATGAAAAGGCTCTGTGGGTGCAGGTTTTTCAGAACAAGTACTTCAAGCAGAAGGACGGTGTTATCACATCCATGAAAAAGAGCAACCATTCTTCGTTGTGGAGAGGAATCGTCAAGACGATGCCCATTATAGATTCTGCTACATGCACCAGTATCAGGGATGAAAACTCCACTGCTTTCTGGACACAACCATGGATCAAGGCTGGACTGGTGCTTGAGGATTTCCTCCTCTCAAGCATTGAGGAAGAGGAAAGGGATGCCCCTGTTTTGAAACTTGTTACTTCTGCTAGGGAATGGAACTAAGTTTACTTGAATGGTAAACTCCCCGAAGAGATCCTCTCTTTGATTGCAGGAACCGATGTGCCAAAGCAGGATCTTGGAGAGGACATGATCATCAGGGGGCTGGAAACTGGTGGCAGGTTTAGGTACAAGTCTGCTTACAAATTGGCAGCAGAGGAGCTTGAAGAGGTGCAGGGAAGCGAATGGAAGGGCCCGAACAGGGTCAAGCATTTTCTATGGCTCACTTACCATGAAAAGCTCCTGACGAATATAGAGAGAGCTAAAAGAAAACTAACGGAGGACAGCGAATGCGAATTTCCAGGTTGTGAGCGATGTGATGAGACTATAGAGCACATCCTAAGAAGCTGCAAAAAAAAAGAGGGTGTTTGGAGGTTTTTCATACACTCGATCTCGGTCAAGAATAGAACTATCCCTTTTAGACAATGACTTTTACAGAATCTGGAGGATGATGAGAAGGGTGCCGCCTTCGGAATCATTCTTTGGCACATCTGGAACAAAGAAATGAAGAAGCTATTGACGGCAAGATGTACTGCGAGCAGAGTCTTATCAACAAAATCTTTGCTTTTTTGAGTGTTCTGCAGAGACCTCAAACTAATGACCTGAAGCTGAAGCCAAGGGCCTCCAGAACTAAGGAAAACCTCCAAATTGCATGGTCTTCCCCTAGGGAAGGTGGGTGACCATCAACACTGATGGTTCAGTGATTACAGAGAAGAACATGGCAGTTGGAGGGGGTCTGGTTCGTGACCATCTTGGAAGGTGTATAGAGCTTTCCTCGCCAATTTCGGAAACTGCTCTACCACCACAGCTGAATTGAAAGCAGCTGAGCTTGGGCTGTCAATGGCGCAGAGCTTGGGGTTTAGAAAAGTGATCCTCAGCCTTGACTTCACCACTGCAATTAGCATCTGGTTTTGAGCTGGGAGGTTCAAATCACTCATAGCTATAGAGAAAGCAATTACGCAGCTGACTTTTTAGCTAGGAAAGGCCATGGCCTTCGTTTTGGAGCCATTAAGTTGATGTTTTTTTTATTTAGGCTTAGCCACTGGCTATCTTTTTATGTAACGAGTATCCCCCACGTACGTTTAATGGGAGAAGCTAGGGTGCTAACCCCCTATGGGGTTAGCACCGGTCCAACCCCAATCTAAACCGTCCAAATCTATTTAAGAAAACACTAAGGGTAAATTAGGGTTAATCAACATTAAATATTAATTTTTATTTTGAAATTAAATATGTTAATTTTATAGGGGCGGATTTTTAGGGATTTGGGACGGTTAAGAGGTTTTTATTTTTTGAATACAGGTTGAGGGTGTAGTGTCTCCATTTTCCTCCGATTCGTGGATTGCAACGACGACGAAAACATCGAAGGCCAAGAACAAAGACTGCCGGAGGTGTCGTCGACAACGGCGATGGAAAGGTTTTTGGTTATGACGGTTGAATCCGAGGAAGTTTCTGTGATGATAGGAGCAGCGGAAATGGGCGGGGGCGGAACCGGTGCGCGACTTGTGCTGAGTACGGGACCTGTCAGCCTCCACCTCTTGAATAACATCCACTAGTTGTCCTTCCCCAGCAGGCTTCGAACCTTTTGGACACTTCACCTTCGCCACTACTGCATACAAAAATGAGCAGTCATGCACGCGTTAGGAAGTAAACACTACTAAACACTAAACCATAACTGTACACACTTTAGCATCAACACTACTAACAGAAACACTACTAGCACGATTCATTTCCCAGCTTCTAGGGAAGCATAACGTGGAGGCAAACTACAACTGTTACTAATACACTACATGTTTTGCATCAGTACAAGAACACATTACAACATCTGGGGATCAGATGGGGATGGGAATGGACATGGAATGTAATTGGAATGGAAATGGAAAATTTGGGAGATATTACTACTTCATTTAGTAAACAATACCAAACCGACATAAAAGGAGTACTAATCAGAACACGGATCACTACCAGCCTAAAAGCCAACACTCATTCATTAGGCTTTGTTTGTACTTCGTTTGTTAGTTTGCAACCCAAAACCCACATTTATTTGGTGCTTCGTTTGTTAGTTTTGTTACGACTTGATGTGGTAGTGTACTGAACATGAATCAACATCAAATCACTACCGATCAGAACACGAACTACTACAGATCAGAACACGAAACACTACCAACAGAACACTACTAACCGCACTAAAAAACACTATCAGCTGGACTCTTCACCTTCTTATATACAAATCGGAGTTGGGATCCAGAACCCTACACTCAACCTCCCTAAAAGGCAGATCTTTATTCAAAAAATAAAAAAACTAGAGCCGGGGACGGGACATGCAATCGCGCCGACAAGAGAAGAAGAAATATGATTAGCGAGTTTTGACTACTACCTGAGGCGGCGGCCGGAATGAAGACGAGCTCGGCTGAGAGTGAGGTCGTCGAAGGCGCCTACGGGCACGACGAGGTCGGAGGAGCGGAGGGGGTGAGACGAGGTGGGAGGATCGGAGGGCGGCGACGAGGTGGGAGGAGCGGAGGGCGGCGGCGGGGTGGGGGGAGCGGTGGATTGTGCAGGCGAGACAGACCCGACGATGGTTGTTGGTGACGGAGCCTTCAACGTCGGGAAGGACTTCAACAAATCGGCGGCTTCGCTAGGGGAAGAACTCCGACCGCTATAGAGGAAAAAGGGAAGACCAAAAACTCACCCCAAAATGAAGCTTCTGAATGTTGGGATCCCACCACAAACCCGCATCCGTATTCGCCTGATTTCCTGGCATATCATCATCAAACAAACCAATTGACGAAAATGCCCATGGCGGCAAAACTCCCTTAATCAGCCGAATCCCCAAAACGCAGTCGTACCAGCGAGTTATCAGGGTGCTAACGTAGTAGGGGGTTAGCAACCCATCCGATCCCATATTTAATTAATATGAATTAAGACGCCATCGGTGTCTATTTCACTTATTTAATAATATATAGGTTGACAACGATGCACCTAGGGATGGCAACAAAACCCGAACCCACGGGTACCCACCCGACCCAACCCGGTCAACGAGGGTAAAACCCGTGTTGATGGGTTTTGGGACGGGTTCGGGTTTAAACCCGCTACACTATTCACCGGGTCGGGTTGGGTTTGGGTTTAGGTAAACCCGCCCCATGGGTACCTGCCTACACATATAATTAATTTCCCGGTATATTTAATATTCTAAATAATATATCTTCCTTAAACAACTAATATTCTTTATGTTTGTGGAGATATGTATAATTTGTTCTTTCAAATTGTTTAGAATGAAGTTCATATTATGAAGTGAAGAATGAAGAAACTTAGTTGACGAGGAAGAAACTTTCAATTAATCTTATTGTTTATAGATGTTTATCTTTAATTTTGAACAATTTGTATTGATCACTTGCGGTTTGCTTGTATGCTCTAGATTGGTGTTTTTTGTATGATTAATTTGTATGAGAAAATTGATGTTAAACTTTTATTTTGAAATAAACTTGTTATTGTAAATTTTTTACTAGAAAACCCCACGGGTACCCATGAACCCGCGGATACCAATCGAGTTGGGTTGTGTTTGAGTTTTTCAAACCCAACAGGTTTTACCTCCATATTTTTATGGATAAACCCATGAATTTGTGTTTGGGTTTGACAAAACCCGCCCCAACCCGACCCATGCCATCCTACTTGCACCACACTTCACACACCGACGCGCAGCTGAATCACAGCCGAGTAGTGGCAGTATTGTAATTTGGCTCTTTATTTACGAAAAAACGCCGTTCTTTGCGCTTTGTTTTCTCTCTTGGCATTTTAACACGCATCACTTGGCCTGGTCTCTTACAAAAACCCGAAGTCCCTCTTCTTCTCCTCTGATTTCTCCATTGCCTCTCAATCCAGCAACAAACAGCTCGATACCTGGATCTCTCTAGCTCTTCCGATCTGTAATAATGGTGAGCGCCTGCTTATCCATATCCATCTCAATTCTCGTCCACCGAAATGATTTGTTCGGAAAATTTGCATTGCTCGCCGTCGGAAGATTCGGAGTGTAGCTTAGATCTGGCAGAAATCTCCTTCGATTTTACGCTTATACGCGTTATTACGTCTGTTCAATGAGCTTCTTATCCTCTACTTTTAAAATTGAATGCTCGTTTGGTTGCTCGGAATCCGCGCGCTGGGTTTCTGGGGAATTCCCGGTGTTCCTGCCGCGGCGCTTCCATTAGTATTCTTGTTTAGCTTTTCTTCTGCTGTTTTTATTTCGGAATCGAAACGAGACGTGGAAGGTCGGGAATGGCGAAGAGATCTGATGAGGAGAAGAGTTGAACCGGGGGTTCTATGTGGGGTGGTCAGTCAAGTGGCTTGAATGTGCGAGTTGGAGTGAATTTTGCTCTTGTTTGGATGCTGAGAAAGCAAATGAGAGCCGTTTCGTTTTGGTTGTTTGATTTGCTGAACTGGATCATTATTTGTTATAGTTTTTTTTTTATTTGAAGCTAATGGTAGTCCTAATTTGATTCTGTTTCCTTTTGACAGCCTCTCAGACTCGAAATCAAGGTACTATATGACATTTTCTGTGTTCTCTTTCATTTGGTGATTCGGTCTCTGAACTTGGTTTTCTCATTGTTGGTGCTGACTGTATTTGTGATTGTTGGTAGAGGAAACTTGCTCAAAGATCGGAGAGAGTGAAATCTGTAGATCTGCATCCTTCAGAGCCATGGTAACTTGTTGATTTTGTTCGTGTTCTTTTCAGTAGACTTCTTCTTTGTTAGGATCTCATGGAGAGAAATAAACTGCACGTGGTGGTATTGAACTGTGACTGTACTAAATTGTTATTGCAGGATCCTAGTCAGTTTGTATTCAGGAACTGTGTGTATTTGGAACTATCAGTCACAGGTTAGAAATTTTGAACTGTGCTTATAGCCTTTTAGTACATAACAATGCATATGGATTGTTATCTCACATTTCCTTCCGCCTCCTGTTGGATTCTAGGCATTCTCACGTGAAAGAAATAATGCTGCTATGCAATCTCAATTGGATTAATTATAGCATTTTTCACCCCAGAAATAGTTAGGAAGGAATTCTTTGGCCGAAGGTCTTGGTAATTTTTGTCCTCTGTGAGGACAGACAATCAATTCTACTACCAGTTGCCATAGAAGCAAGTCGTTTAAGCCTTGTCCTAGTGAGTGGGCCACCAAGTAGATCCATAGAGCAAAATTTGGCACAAATTCATCCGAGTTCCCATCATACATCATCCCAGTGGGTAGTTTTTAGTGGTGTCTGTCTTCTCTGTTCACCAATAAAATGTCCAATCTTTCATTAAAAGAAGAGAGTTATGCTGAAAATGAAGCAGCTTGCGATAGAATGACGCTGCAGATATTGTTTGAGTGTTCTATTGTAGTGGAGACTGTCATCTCATAACATGGGTAGGTGCTTCTATTCTGTATAATGTTTTGTGTTAGCAGAGTACTAGAAAGTTCGAAGGAATAACTATCGACATTGAAAGAGATTGTTCTCCTGTTTTGTTGGAAAGTGTACGATCTTTGACCAAAAAAGAAGAGAGTTTATGATCTTCAATTTGGGTTCACTATGACGAATCACAATGCGCTAGAGAAACATTTAAGACCATTTAATTTATTGAACATTTGAATTTGACATCCAGCGGTTTTGTAAGATGCCTATGCCCAAGTAGGAGTGTTGATGGGTGTGTTTAGACTTTTCTTTCGTCTTAGAAACCAACTTTGCTGTCTTCTAGGTAACCAGTTTTTTTTTAAGGCTCGTTTTGTTTGGCATTTGGCTCCTTTTGACATCTTATTCAAGTTTTCTATGCTCTTACAGACTATGGCAAAGTCGTTTGAAGTGACTGAACTACCAGGTAATTGACTGTTATCTGCTCGAGCCAGACCAAGCCTTTTTTTGTTTCTTTTATTAGAATACTTTCTTTACCAGTTCTGCAATCTAAGCCTCCAGCTTTGTTATTGCAGTTAGGTCAGCCAAGTTTATACCAAGAAAACAATGGGTTGTTGCTGGAGCAGACGATATGTTTATTCGGGTGTACAATTACAACACAATGGATAAGGTTAAAGTTTTTGAAGCACATACAGATTATATTAGGTGTGTGTCTGTGCATCCTACCCTTCCTTATGTCTTGTCATCATCTGATGATATGCTCATAAAACTATGGGATTGGGAGAAAGGCTGGGTGTGCACTCAGATATTTGAGGGGCATTCACATTATGTAATGCAAGTGACCTTTAACCCGAAAGACACTAACACATTTGCAAGTGCATCTCTTGATCGAACCATAAAGGTATTCAACATATTTCTCTTGGTAATTCTCACCACGGCATAATGTACTCTTACTTGAAACTTACATAGCTTTTCACATTGTTTTATTGTTAGATTTGGAATCTTGGATCTCCAGACCCAAATTTTACTCTGGATGCTCATCAGAAAGGGGTAAATTGTGTTGATTACTTCACTGGTGGTGATAAACCTTATCTGATCACTGGCTCTGATGATCATACTGCTAAGGTTGGTCTAATTCTGTTCATTGATTTGCTTGCTTTCGTCATGTTTTTGTATAACATCACTGCATGTTCCATATGTTGCCAGGTGTGGGACTATCAAACCAAGAGTTGCGTCCAGACACTGGACGGGCATACACACAATGTATCTGCTGTATGTTTTCACCCTGAACTGCCTATAATCATCACAGGTTCTGAGGATGGTACGGTCCGCATATGGCATTCTACAACTTATAGGTCAGTGTAATTCAACAATTGGCATAAGTTGTATTTAAGTTCAGTGTTGCTAGGTACCTTGAAATATCTTCCATGTTCAAGCATTTATTGTTTGCCAGTTTTATTTAGCTTCTTCAAAACCTTCGCATGGAAAGACATTAATATGGGTGTCTTTAATTTTTGCCATCTGTGAACATTCTGGATGACCATGCTGGATTTTGTTTGTCCTTATATATGGACTTTATGCAGCTTAAGAATGAAACGAAGTCACCTATATCTCTACCGATGCATTTGTGTAGAAATATTCTATGTAGAACCAGGTTATAACTTAGAACACTGCGCTTCTGTAGCATCACTTTAACGTTGCAATAATTTGTTAATATGGTTAGTTTCAAGTAACATGCTTTCAGACCTTCTAGCATTATGATGTATGTACTGTAAGATGCTTTCCTTTGACCTGCAGACTGGAGAACACATTGAATTACGGTCTTGAAAGAGTTTGGGCAATTGGCTATATTAAAAGTTCACGAAGGTAAATGCTCTGAACATTTGCAATTACTGTGAAAGTCTTTGCATCGCCCAATATGGCTTCTGTTCTATTATTATTGTATCTTTTAATGTGAATTCATTTTTTACTCCTGGCTTCAGTTCTTTACCACTTCAACTTCTAAAGAAAAAAGAAAAACAAAACGAAATAACTCCTATGAATCCTTGCTATTTGCTTCTGTTGATTCTCGCTAATGTCTATTGAGGAGCCTTTTGGAATTCGGATTTGTAAAATGGATGGACTTGAAATAAGTAGATTGTAAGGATGGATAGAATTGAAAAATGTTATTTTCTGGCTAGGTGTTTTATAAATATGTATCATCCCATGGAGAGATTATAAAAAACATTCTATCACATGAGAGGTTCCATATCCATCCTAGTGAGAGATTTGGAAGCTCCAGAGATTTCAAATACAACCAGCTGGCACCTGTTTTTTCTTAGCCAAAGGGTGGATTTTGCATAGACCCCCATTAGAGAGATTGTGGTGCATGCTCCTTCATCGAAAAGACACCTTTAATAATTATGAAATATTAAGAGGTTAACAGAGCCTTGCTTTTTGTTCTTTGTTGTTTAACTGCAGTTCTTATTCTGCTTTCTTTGCTTCTTCCTAAGATTTTAATGAATTTTATTTATTGGATAGTTTGTTTCCTTATGACTGTTCTCTTATTGATTCATCTTTAACGAGTTGTACTATTAACAATTTAATTTTCAGGATTGTAATTGGCTATGACGAGGGAACCATTATGGTCAAAATTGGCCGAGAAGAACCAGTGGCCAGTATGGACAATAGTGGAAAGATCATATGGGCCAAGCACAATGAGATTCAGACTGTAAACATTAAGAGTGTGGGCGCTGATTTTGAGGTTTGGACTCGGTTAACTATTCTTTGTCAATGTATTGTCTAGTGGAAGTTTATTCGCTTGGTGTGGCCATAATACTTTTGTTTTATTCCCCCATACCTGGTGTTCTCTCACTAGGTTACTGATGGAGAGAGATTACCTCTGGCAGTCAAGGAGTTGGGAACATGTGATCTTTATCCACAAGTGAGTTGCAACTAAACTTGTTCTTTCTCTTAATCTTCCAGTTCCATGCTTTGCCTGGTGTTCTATGTAGCAAGGCTTTAAGGTGGCCGTATTATCAACTGCTAGTATATGAACAAATTTATGCTAGATTGTGTAGTTTGATCTAGTTATCCTAAATTCCTAATTAAAGGCATAGTTATGCCTTAACTTATGAAGTCGATTGTAAGAAGACCTTAAAATGCACAACTATCCTAAGCATAGGGAAAGAGGGTGACAAGTAGGCACTCTTTCATGGTTCAGTCTGTAGGGAGTGGCGAAGATATTAACTATTTTCTCTAACTACTCTACTTAGTAGTTAATTCTTTTTTCTGGCAGTGGGCGTATTCACTTTTTTTCTACTGACTTTTCTGCAGAGCCTAAAGCACAATCCCAATGGTAGATTTGTTGTTGTTTGTGGAGATGGTGAGTATATTATATATACAGCTTTAGCATGGAGAAATAGATCATTTGGTTCTGCCTTGGAATTTGTTTGGTCCGCGGAAGGTGAATATGCTGTGAGAGAAAGCACATCAAAGATTAAGATCTTTAGTAAAAACTTCCAGGTATGGGTACTGTGCCAGTTAAGAATTTAAGTTCAATTGCGTGCATATTTGCATGGGAAGTCACAAGTCGCCTAATTCTCTGATCGCCATTGAAAATAATCTATTGATTTCCTTGGTTTACCGTGTTCTTTCTTTGGGGCATAATGTTTTCTACTTTATTTTGTTTGTGCAAGTACTTTGTCCTAGCACCTATCTAATGGTTTTCTTATTGAATACGGGTCAAGATTTGTTTTAGTGCAATTGGCAACTTCATTCATTCTATTACATGACTAGTGGTGCTCTGTGTTATAAATTTGTAATGCCTATGGGCTTAGCATATTTTGTGCTAGATTCTGATTTTATGATTTTATTTGCTGAGGATATGTAACTGTGAACTAAAACAGAGGTGCTCATTTCAGGAAAGGAAAAGTGTGAGACCAACCTTTTCAGCTGAGCGAATTTTTGGAGGCACTCTATTGGCTATGTGCGCAAATGATTTCATCTGTTTTTATGACTGGGCTGAATGCAGGCTAATTAGGAGAATTGATGTCACTGTTAAAGTAAGCTAAAGTTTTTGTACTTTGTGATTTGAGTTATACTACCCTTTCCTTGATCCCTTTTATTGCTGTTACTCATTGTCTTTTTTTTTTTTTGTCTCCTATGTATCAGAATCTATATTGGGCTGACAATGGCGATCTAGTGACTATTGCAAGTGACACATCCTTTTACATCCTCAAATACAGTGTGAGTTGTCTGATTGCATTTTCATTATCCTTGGTGTAATACATGTCACTATGTGAAACTGAACTCCTGAATCTTTTGGTTATCGTTGCAGCGTGATGTCGTTTCATCTTATCTTGAAGGTGGAAGAGGTGTAGACGAAGAAGGTGTTGAAGAAGCCTTTGAGCTTCTATACGAAACAAACGAGCGTGTACGGACTGGACTGTGGGTGGGTGACTGTTTCATTTACAATAACTCTTCCTGGAGGCTCAATTACTGTGTTGGGGGAGAGGTACTCATCACTTCCAATTCATTTGTGGATTTAGAATTTTTCTTGTCCAAGTTAAGTGCTTTTGATTTCATCATGATTGCTGACTGCAAGTTGTTTTAGGTAACCACCATGTACCATTTGGACCGACCTATGTACTTATTAGGTTATCTTGCTAGTCAAAGTCGGGTGTATCTTATTGATAAAGAATTCAAGTAAGTGGTTCTCAGTGGTCTCGAGAGGTCAGTGAGTCACATTCTTACTATGGACATTCATGAGCTAATTATCATTTGTTCATTCCACGCAGCGTTATAGGTTACACTTTACTTCTCAGCTTGATTGAGTACAAGACTCTTGTGATGCGCGGTGACTTAGAAAGGGCCAATGAAATCTTACCGTCAATTCCTAAAGAGCAGTACAATAGGTATGTATCCTGGCTCTACATTATCCTGTAAGTTTCTTGAAAGTGTCTTGACTTCGACCACCTTATCATTATTGTATTGCTATCTAAATCTTCTCTGTCTACTTCGAACTGATGAACGCTATATCTACCTCAACTTGCTTCCTTTCTAGTGTTGCACGCTTTTTGGAGTCCCGAGGCATGGTGGAAAATGCTCTGGATGTGGCCACTGATCCCGATTACAGGTTTGAGCTAGCCATACAGCTCGGTAGATTAGAGGTCGCACAGGTATATTCAAGAGACTGTTCTGACCTCATGTGGTATTTAGATTATTTTCTCTCTATGAATAAGCTTTGGGGATGGTTTTCATGTTATCTTGTAGGAAATCGCATCAGAAGTCCAGAGTGAGTTGAAGTGGAAGCAGTTGGGAGAATTGGCCATGTCTAATGGCAAGGTATTGTCTCACAACCATGGCTTTAGCTTGTCTATTTGAGCGGAGACTTGCGCTCGTGTTGGTTCTAGTTATCTTTCTCTAATGTACCATATTTTTCGGCATCAACCATGCTATTCTGGACAGCTGGCAATCTTCTTTGAATAATTAAATGTTGACAATGTCTTTCCGTTTTGGGCAAAAGCCATTATTGATGACTTGATTACTGTCAAATTCTTCTCTTGCCCAATTTAAACTTCGAACTACAATTATTGTTGCATAGCTGGTCGGGTTTAAGATTCCTGATCCAAAATATCAGACACTTATTTTGCAAAGTCATTTTATTTCAGTTGGAAATGGCTGAAGAGTGCATGAGGCGGGCAATGGACTTGAGTGGACTATTGTTGCTCTATTCTTCTCTAGGAGATACAGACGGGATTTCGAAACTTGCAGCTCTAGCAAAAGAACAGGGAAAGAAGAATGTTGCTTTCTTGTGCTTGTTCATGTTGGGTAAATTGGAAGAGTGCCTGCAGCTATTAGTGGAAAGGCAAGTACGCCAGCAACTGTTTTCAAATGCTAAGCCATTACATTCATTCTGACTGACATTCTTTGTGTAGTAATCGGATACCCGAAGCTGCTTTGATGGCTCGCTCTTATCTTCCGAGCAAGGTTTCAGAGATTGTTGCTATCTGGAGAAAAGACCTCAGCAAAGTAAGTAGATTTGTACTCTTATAAGCATATCATTTATTCCTTTTCCTCAGGAGACCTGGAAAATTCCTGATCAAGCATCATTTCCAGAAGCTAAAAGTTCACGCTTCTGAAAAATTGCTTTGATTATCCTCTTTCCTCGATACAATGTTCCCCCCTCTTTGCATGTGTTGTACTCTTGCCATGCTTCTATAATTACTTCTCACTCGATGTCTTTTGACCCTTGAGGATTGTCCACTTACTGGCTACCTTAGAAGAGGAAAAAAACCAATGATTGACCCATCTTGCATATATTGTCTTATGCTTCATTTTTATGCTGCTTGAAGGTCAATTCAAAAGCTGCAGAGTCCTTGGCGGATCCGGAGGAATATCCAAATCTGTTCGAGGATTGGCAAGTTGCATTGTCTGTGGAATCAAAATTCGGTGACATTCGGTAAGAGCGATGAGCAGTCCCTGAGTAGAAATGAGCATCTTCCATATTTGAAGAAATTCAGCTTCGTCAATACTTAGATTCCTAAGAGTGTTCCTTAATTGGGAGGTCTCTGGTACTCCAGTCTTGTTGGATGGCAATCCAAACACACTATCTCTAGAAGGTCAATTCTTTTCATATGCTAATTTTGCATTCTTTTTTCTTCTTTGTCCCTCGTTTCTTTGTAGGGGGATTTATGCTCCAGCAGAAGACTATATAACCCATGTTGATAAGCCTCACGTAACACTTGTGGAGGCTTTTAGAAACATGCATATTGATGAGCCTCTTGAAAACGGAGAGTATGAGCACGAGGTATGGTATCCTGCAATACTGTTTGATTACATTATGACATTACATTGTACACGTCTTGGGTTTTTTATTAAGCTAACTTGATATTTTTGATTTCAGGTTGATGAAGAGCAGATCGAGGAAGAACACAACACCACCACGGAGGAAGCAACTGGAGAAGGAAGTCAACAAGAAGAGGCAGTTGTGGTGGATGCTGATTCCACAGACGGTGGAGTACTTGTTAACGGAAACGAAGCCGAGGAACAGTGGGGTACGAATAATGAAGGAACCCCATCCGCCTAAAAGCAAAATTTCGTTGGGGCAGTGTGAAAAACCAAATTTTGTCTCTGGTGATTAATTGATCTAACGTGCACATCTGTGTCTCCCCATTTCCAAGAGTTGTTTTTTTGTGTGTGTGCTACCGGTGCTAACAAGTGATGTATGTGTTAGAGAACTTCCTGACTTTGCCCTGTTTTTGGTAGTAATCTTCAGTTCAGGATATTATGTAAGCTCTAACTTCTACCTGGGTCACTGGGACTTACATTCCTAATTGAAGTCCCGCTTCCATGGAAGCAATTCTGGTTCAGCCTTGTTTTGGAAGATGACAGTCCCACTTTTGTGGAAGAAAGTCGTCGTCGTTTAGCACTTGATCAGATTACGTGCTTAGCTAGTAACTGAACCTTTAGTGAATGAATGGCCTTTGAAGTGGAAAGAGTCTTGCATTTGTCTGCTAATGTTCAGTCCTAACTCCTAAGCTTGGCTGTCTTGTCCCAGTTGTGTCCTTTATATTCGAATCTAGCTTTCAATTGTTGTTTGTTAGTCTCTTTTGTGATGGTTGGTTTAGACATCATGATCCTTGTGCTGATTTCTCTTTCTTTTGGCAGTACTTACACCACACGAGTAGGTGCCCATCAACAAAATCACTTCTTCAAATAGTAGCGTTCTCGCACATGAAAGGTAAGAGACACCTGACCTCGAAAATACTCTTTGTTTGGATGAGTCTGGTCTCGGCGGTTGCATCAAATGGAAATATTATGTGAACCATCACACTGTGTGTCCCCCAAAGGGGAATTTGGATTGCTATCTACCTTGAGAGGTGAGGCAGTCCTGTTGAGGCTTGAAAGTTGAAAAATGATTGCTCGTCCCTATTGTATCTGAAACCCGAGTTAAATTTGAAACTTGAAGGTACTGAATATAATATTCCCTTTCTGTTGTGTTCTTCTCCAGGTTTTGTTTCCAGATTAGCTAGGAAGAGCTGACTTTCATTGGAGGCTGATTATTACGATTGAGGCGGCAAGGCTTATAAATGCGTCAATTTTTTTATATTGGACAGCACTTATAGTAACCAAACAGGATTCATATAGCTTTAGTTGGTTCTTTTTCTCTCTTCTATGATTCATATAGCTGTGTCCTTTTAGGATATTCTTTGTCGAGGCTTCCATATGTCAGCTGTGCCATTGTGAATGTAGAAATGATTTTCTTTTCCTGTATTTGCCCCCCTTTGATCTGTGTTCCTGCCTGGTAGTGGTAACTGCGGCTTTGGAGAAACTTCCAGGTGTATTTTGTTCAGTGAAATGTTTTTCGAGGCAGTTTTGTAGTGGAGGATATCCTTAAAGCTTTTACTTTCGATCAGTCAACCGTGCGTACTGCGGATACTAGTGAAGGGGAATTTGACATCGTGGTTCAACTTCGCAACAATTTAAAGCAAATGGAAAATTGGCCGTTTCAGTAAAAAGAATGAATGTACGCAGCATGGTGGACCATATTTTGTGAACCAATAATTTGGACGTAGGTTTTGTTCATGATTGAGGTAACTGTTTCCACATGTTACCATAATTTAATATTAATAAGGGTTTCGTCTAACCATTAGAATCTCTTAAATAATATTCAGGAACAAAATAAATATGAAAAATGATATCAATCTTATCACAAAAGCAATGTTACGATATTGAAGAAAAAAATCCAAAACTACCACTATTTTAAAAAAAATTACAAAAATACCACTCATTCCCAAGAATTTCCAAATCTACCACTGTTTATTAAAAATCGCTCCACTCAGCGGTAGTTAAAACAAAAACCGCCCACCCAAACCGCGGTTTACCATAGAACCGCCTGGTCGACAAGCGGTTTGTCTATTTTGGAAAAAACACTCTCGAAGGAGCGGTTGTCATGGCTGGCCTACCACAAACCGCTTCCTCAGGGAGCGGTTACTTGTCGGCATGGTAAAACGCTCCATAGGGAAGCGGTTTACCATGTCGACACATAAACCGCTCCCCCCCAGCGGTTTGTGCCTCGTCACCCGACATCCGACATGTCGACAGGCAGGAGGTTGCAAGGGTGGGGGGCTGCATGCCAAACTTGCCTATAAAAGGCTGGTCCAGAAAACTCAAAATCTTCACTCCACTCTTTCTTCTTCAAATTTCAGTTATGCACCTTTAAATTATTTAGTTTTTGCGATTAACGTTAATTCGTAAGTTTTTTTTTGTATTACTTTTCATTGTCATTTGTGATTTTTATGTTAGTAACTTAATACAAGTTTATTGCATATGGAATTCCAAAGGTTCACGCTTGGGTTGCGGTGGAATGGTTACACGGAAGAGACCGAAAAGGGTGTAAGTTACGTGGGTGACAATTTTTATAAAATGAAGGTCCGTACGAGACCGATACTTGATGAGCTCAATCAAATGTGCACTGGGGTTACCTGCATGGATGGCACTAGAAAAGTTGATCGTATGGTGTATCGATATCCAAACAGACATGGCGGGTCGCTGTGAAATGAGGAATTCTGTGGAATGAGGAATTCCTCATTACAACTCAGGAGGACGTTGGTGCCATGGTCCAATTTTTTTACCACCAATAAAATTAAACAAGCGGAGATTTTCGTTTACACCGAGGGGTCGAAGGCGGTGTAGGTTATTCTGGAGATGGCCAAACATCTAGTATCCATGGTGGGAGTGTATTATACGAAGATCATCCCCACTAGGAGTACCAAGACTCGAGCTGGAGGCAGGAGTATCATGATGGAACTGGAGGTCATCATCAATCATTCCCATCATATGAAGAAGAAGCTCAACAGGCGGATGAGAACCAACAAGCAGGCTACCAGTACCAACCCGGGTACAACTTCTACCAAAGCGGCGTTAGTTACCACAACTACCATTACGGATATGGTGAAGGTGAAGGTGCCTTTCACGATGATCATAATATGGAAGAAGAGGTCAATCCAAGTCCAGTTAGTGACCCTGAGGTTGAAGAAGAGGAAGGCGATGTCAGTGCAGACAACTTCGATCCTCTTGAAGGTGCTGATGATTCCGGTCCAGATTCAGACGCAGACGGTGATAAGGTACCTCGCGACCGTGTACCTATCCCGTACTACAATCACATTCCAAATGAAGATTGGTATGTTGATGCCGACATGGACCCGCCAGAGGTGCCAGTATGGGGTCCACTCACTGGCTTTACTAAGGACCAACAATTTGCAACAAAGAATGAGGTCCGGAACGCTATTGCCACTGAATCAATGACTCGGAGTTTTGAATGGCACACAACCCATTCCGACACGAAGAGGTTGATGGTTAGATGCAAAAATCAAAATGAGGGATGCAAAGCTAGGGTCCGGGCCATCAAGAGCAAGAGAGTCGACCATTGGGTTATATCCCATGCGGTGAACACACACACATATGTGTCATCAATAACATCCCAAGACCATCGACAGTTGAAATCAAGGGTGGTTGCCGCGGCTATCAAACATCTAATTTAGGAGCAGCCCGACCTGAAGGTTAAAACCATCATCGCCGACATTTCTAGTTGGTATGGTTATATCATTAACTACAAGAAGGCGTGGCATGGAAAACAGAAAGCAATGGCCGCCGTGTTTGGTAACTGGGAAGAATCATATGCATTCCTTCCCATATTGATTTTGGCGTTGGAGGTGTCTAACCCTGGCACTATTTTCTCTCCTCGCTACCAAGATGAAGAAATTCAGTCGCCAGTGCCTGGTAACAAGCATCATTTCAAGCGTCTTTTCTGGTCATTCAAGCCATGTATTTCCTATTAAGCTTAAATGAATATCATTTTCAAAATTGAAGTAAAATTATTTTTGTACACATACACATAAAATCAAATGTATTATTTTGTACTTCGTATTGATTGTTTTCAATCATTTAAAGTAATGCAAGTACACTCGTAAGACTCTTAGGAGAGGTATACATCTTTTTAGAAACACAGTCTGTTTGACAGAAAAAGGGGGGATCCGAGGATCGCTTAGAACCCAATTTTCCCAGGTCATGGGAAGATCATGATGTTCGCTTAAGACCCATTTCCTTAGACATGCATTTCTTTATAAAGAGTCTAAATAAGTGATGTATTGTATTGATTTAAATTATTGAAAATAATCAATACGATTAATAATTAAGTAATTTATTGTACAAAATAATAAATTACATTAACAAAATAAAAATTACAAGTGATGATAAATAATATGTACCTTGTGGTCGTTCCAAACGTCTCTTGAACGATGATTGTATTGATCGTATAAAATAGTCGGATCAATCGGTCCTTGATCAACATAATATCATTGATTGTATATATCAACATCCGACCCAACTACAATAGCATAACAACAACATAAATCAATTAGTATATAAATAAAATAAACCATTATAACAACAACAAAAATTGGGTAAAATGAGTACGTACCGCTTGATAATCATCATAGTAAATACCCTTTTCTAGGATAAAATCGGCCATTTTTTCAGGATTCGGGCAGAGATTCGACGGTTTTTTAGTAAAAACCAAATAAAAGTTTTTGGAAGGCAGATCGGACTTAGCCGCAACCAACAAAACAACTACTTCCAAGGTTTTTGGGTGGGGAGGGTGATGGGTAGAGTGAGAAACTTAGAGAGAGAGAGAGGGGAGATTGGGGGTTTGGTGTGAAGAAAACGAGAGGAAGGGGTGGGTTTATATAGGAAAGGAACCGCGTGCCGGAGGGGCGGTTTGGTATTTTTACCCCACCAAAAACCAGGCCTCCAGCACACGTTTTACGTTTCCCAACGCGCAAACCGCGCTTCAGGGCAACGCTTTCCCGTGGGCGACGCTGATCGCTCAGCTGGCAGGTGGTTAGCCATCAGATCCCCTTCCCATCGTGTGGTTGCATGGACCGCCACGTGGAGGCGCGTTTTGTCAGCTGCCCAATGGCAAACCGCCCCTTGCCCGCGCGGTTCGAATGAGAACTGCGCGTGCCAGGCGCAGTTTATGGGGGATGGTGGTAGATTTGGAAATTCTTGGGAATGAGTGGTATTTTTGTAATTTTTTTTAAAACAGTAGTAGTTTTGGATTTTTTCCGATATTGAAGGTGCAAATGGACCTCTTTGGCTCTTTTCTTTCCTTTTCCAAAGTGGCCATCTGGTGCAAGCGTCCATTTGTCGGGTTAGATCCGGTGTTTAAATCTAAAAGTTTAAGCATATGCTTAAAGTATTTCTATTGCCTAATAGGAATCTAGTTAGTTTATGGAAGGTTAGTAGTTAGTAGGTTGTTATTTTTTACTTCTCTCTAGTCTATCGAGGTTTTAGAGGCGGCAAAAACCCTAGTTTTTCTGTAGGCAACTCGGTGAGTGACTCCGGTGGTTTCGACGATCTATAGAGGGCATATCGATTTACGCTTCCTGATTGGAGTAGTATTCTAGTACAATCAAGTTCTATTTAAGAGTTGGTTTTGAGGAGTTTGGCGTTTACGAGAGGTTATTCTGAAATCAGGCATGAATATCGGAAAGAGTTCTCTGGCAACCCTAGGGGGACGTTCTTCTAAATCTTGGATCGCAAGAAAGAGTGCATCAGCTAGTTTCAAGCTCAATGCGACATCAACAACGAAACCATTAGCAGTGATGGCGGAGTAGGAACCCCTGGAACTCCAAAGCACGGCTGAAAGTTTGGAGGTCCAGCTGGATCACATAATGCTGGGGGATGAGGATGATACTCCTTTGGAGGTTGACAATGATGATGTGGATGTTGTACGAATGGAAGCGGTGCGTCAACTGGGATTGATTGGTCGCTTGGTTGCAGAAAAACAACCAAATGTCAAATCGATGAAAATAGCTTTGGCTAAGGCATGGAATCCGAAAAAGGGTTTTCAAATCACAGATCTAGGGGATATGCTGTTTCTTTCCAGTTCATCGACATGGATGACAGAAATAAAGTAAGCTATGGAGGTCCATGGCATTATGAAAACAATGTCATGGTCTTCATGCCTAGTGTACTGATAAAAAAACTGGCCCCAGAAGCATTGCATGTGATTGATATATGGATACGGATTGGGGAGTTTCCAGTTGAACTAAGAACGCAAATGATGGCAGAGAAGATAGCAAACCGTTTTGGTTCTTTGGTTTGGTTTGATGGTAATCCAGGAAAAATGTGGGACGCCTATATGAGGCTAAGGGTGAGTATATCGATAAATAACCCACTAAAGAAGAAGATCAAGCTGAATATAGGGGGAAAGCTTGTGGAGTACCTGGTCAAATACGAAAAGCTCCCTCTTTTCTCTTACTTTTGTGGGAGGATAGGCCACCCAAAGCTACGATGCCCTCGACCTTCAGGGCTGAATCCTGACCCGTTTGGTATGGAGCTGAGAGCAGGCCCGCATGATCCGCGTAATTGGCTGTCACACTCCACAAAGAAGGAGGATGCAGAACTGTGGGCTTTGCTATGAAAGGAAGTTCGACATGGAGAGCTTTGGCTCTAACTCTGATCATGAAATGGCACCTGCAGAAGAGATAGCAGATAAGCAAGTTGGTTCGCCAAACATTGAAAACCACACGAAGGAAAATAAAGAAAATCAGAAGGAGAATCCTGCAGATGAAGAGAGAATACCTACACAGGAAACCCCTTTGCAAACAGATGTTGGGGACCCTCGATTCCCACAGAAAACCAATTTTGGAAAGCTTGGAATGGAAGGAGCCTTGCAACAGTTTGTTCTGGGCTCCAATGGAAGTGTGCCTAAAAAAAGGAGTGGAGGCAGGGTCTGGAAAAGACATGAGCAAACAAAAGTTAGAACTCCTGCAAACACTCAAGTGACACCACATAAAAGAGATATGAAAACCAATGGAGGAGAGGACAGGAAGGAGGCAGAACAGGGTATGCAGATGAAAAAAGCAAAAGTGCTGACTTTTGTGGAAAATCCAATTCCCATACCAGATCAAACAAACAACAATGAAAATGATGCGATGTGGCGAACTCTACCAAGGAGCAGAGCGCCCAGCTCAATGAGCATTTTGAGCTACAACTGCAGGGGCCTCGGGAATACCCCTGCAGTTGAGAAGATGAAGACATTATTACGTTGCACAGATCCTGACATTGTCTTCCTAATGGAGACAAAGCAATATGAGAGTGAATGGAAAAATTAAGGAGTTTGGATACTATGAGGGTAGAGGGGTGGCAGCTGGGAGCAACAGAGCTTGTGGCCTTCTACTGATGTGGAGAGAGGAGGTTCAGGTAAAAATAATGGATCTATCCTTGCATTTCATTGATGCAAAGGTCAAGATGAAGAATTGCAAAAAGGACTGGGGACTTACTGGGATTTATGGGTGGCCTGAAGCACAAAATAAACACAAAACGTGTGATCTACTTCACAGGCTGCATCAACAGGTAGACATACCTTGGTTAGTGGTGGGAGATTTTAACCTCATCACTGACTATCTAGAGAAGAGTCAGAGCAAAGAACCAGAAGTGAAGGAGATGGATATGTTTCGAGAATGCCTATAAAATTGTGAGCTGGAGGATGGTGGATACTACTGAAGAACTTTCACATGGGAGAATAACCGTGGGGAGGAAGACTATACAGAAGAAAGACTAGATAGAGCGGTGGGGAACAAGGACTGGTTAGATTGTTATCCAACTATGAGGGTCTACCATTTGGACAGATGTGGCTCTGACCGCATCCCGCTCTAAATCAAATTAGTCCTGGAAGAAGATGAAATAAAGTGGGGTTGGTATTTCCGTTACGAAAGATAGCGGGAAAGACATGAGGAATGTGCCAACATAATCAAGGAAGGCTGGTTGGAACAGGAAGGTATTCCCATACTTGATCGACTAAAGAGTTGTGAAAACAAGCTGAAGGCTTTTGGCTCGCTCAAGCATCGCCGGTTAAAAATTGAAAAGGCACTCAGGGTCTTGCACAATAGGAAGAGAACAAAAGTGGTTTAAGAGCAGAAAAAGGGGTCGGAACAGGAATTAAATGACATTCTGTGTGAAGAGGAACTGAAATAGAGGCAAAGATCACGAGCAGACTGGCTGAAGTCTGGAGATCTTAATGCTGGCTACTTTCACAGAAAGTCATCAGAAAGAAGAAGGAGAAACACAATCTGAACCCTTAAGGATGAGACATGCAGGGTTTTTACAAGGGAAGAAGGGGTAACAAACTGTTTGGTGGGATACATGAGAACCTTGTTTACTGATGGCCGTGATACAGGTACAAATAGGGTTATTGAGGCAGTATCTAGGAAAGTAACCTCAAAAATGAATGAGACCCTTTTAGCACCTTTCACGGACCAAGAGATTTGGCAGGCTTTGAAACAAATGGGGCTTGACAAGGCTCCAGGTTTTGATGGAATGCCTGCTAGGTTTTTTCAACATCACTGGGGAGTGGTTGGACCAGTGGTCTCAAACACTCTAAAAGAATATCTTGAGACAGTAGAGTTCCCTCAGAAACTGAATCACACTCTTGTGGCGCTTATACCTAAATCAAAAAATCCAGGTACACCCCTAGAATTCAGACCCATTAGCCTATGTACAGTTATTTACAAGATTATGTCGAAAGTTTTGGCTAATCGGCTGAAAGGGGTGCTTAACCAAGTGGTAAGTGAGCAACAAAGTGCCTTTGTGCCTGGTAGATATATTACTGACAACGTACTGGTAGCGTTTGAATGCTTTCACACCATGAAGCAAAAAAAAAGAATAAGAAGGGGCTGCTGACAGCAAAGTTGGACATTTCCAAGGCCTACAATCGTATTGAATGGTGCCTCATGGAGAAAATGATGAGAAAGCTGGATTTTGAAGAGAGGTGGATCAAAATGATTATGAATTGTGTAACTACGGTTTCCTACTCTCTCCTAGTCAATGGACACCAGTCAGAGGTCTTTAAGCCTGAAAGGGGACTTCGACAGGGGGATAAACTATCACCCTATCTGTTCTTACTATGTGTGGAAGGGCTATCTTCTTTGGCTCAGAAAGCGGTTAGGGAGGGTAAAATTCATGGAATCAAAGTTTCCCATAGAGCACCCGAGATATCCCATTTGCTGTTTGCAGACGACAACATCTTCTTTACACGAGCCACAGCTCAGGAATGCCAACAGCTCAGGGACATTTTGAGGATCTATGAAGAGGAGTCAGGACAGAAGGTGAACTTACAGAAATCCGAGCTAAGCTTTAGCCCAAATATGAAGAGGGAGCAAAGAGAGGCTTTGGCAGCGATAATGGGGATGAAACAGGTAGAGTACCATGGGAAATATCTAGGTCTGCCTACAATTATTGGGCGAGAGAAGAAATCAGTCTTTACTGCCCTAGTTGACCGAGTTAGAAGGAAGATCAAGAATGGGAAGAATAAGACTCTCTCGATTGCTGCGAAGGAGGTACTGTTAAAAGTTGTAGCTCAATCGCAGGTTACATACACTATGTCAGTCTTTATGGTGCCAGATGGAAGTCTTGACGAGATCAGAAGGGCGATATCAAGCTTCTGGTGGGGCCAACAGAAAGAGGAAAAACGGATACCATGGAAGGCTTGGAAGAATATGTGCAAGCCAAAGGAGGAAGGTGGGATGGGTTTTAAAGATATTAAACTCTTCAATCAGGCTATGGTTGGAAAGCATCTATGGAATCTAATGACAAAGCCAGATTCACTAGCAGCAAGGGTACTCAAAGCTAAGTACTACCCTAATGGGGATGTGATGAATGCGAGGCTAGGCCATAACCCCAGCTATACTTGGAGGAGCCTGTTGGCAATACAAGATTTGGTCAAATCTGGACGGAGATGGAGGATAGGGAACGGAGCAGATGTGAATATATGACAGGATAGGTGGATCCCTGAGGCACAAGAGGAAAATTACATGGTGACCTCGTTGCTAGCAGCCGAAGCAACCAGGGTTTCACAGTTAATTGATCTGGACTCGAGGAGTTGGAAGAGGAATCTCCTACAACGACCTCTAAACCCTGAGGACGGGAGGAGGATTGAAAGTATCCTCATCCCACGTCAACCCTCGCATGATAAGCATGTTTGGAGCCATGAGAAAAAAGGGCAACTACTCGGTTAAGTCTGCCTATAGGCTATAGGTTTTGGTACAATCGTACCCAACAACAAAGTCAATTAATGGGGCAGGAACAAGAAGGGGAGGATGGAGAAAGACTACCAGTCGAAGCAGAACTTTATGACCCTATGAATTGGAAACGATTATGGAAGTTGACAATTCCTCCAAAAGTTAAGATATTCCTATGGAGGTTGATCCACAACATTCTTCCCACTGGAAAGAATATAGCAGAGAGAAAGGAGGATGCAGCGTCTGAATATCCATTATGTAACCTAGAGGAAACACAGGAACACATTTTCCTCGAGTGTCAATGGGAAACCAGAATATGGATACCCACAGAGTTCCGTTGTCTATTCGAAATGGGGGGAAACCTGTCCTGTGGTTCATGGCTATGTGAGGTTATGGAAAAGGTGGATGATGAATTGGTGGAACAACTAGGTATGATACTATGGTACTTGTGGAATGAACAAAACAATCACTTGTTCAACAATAAGAAGATGGAAGACACAGCGAGCCCTAAATCATTGGGAGGATTTCAAATCTCAACACGAGCAGGGAGTTCTAGAGAAGACGGAGGCAGTGCTTACCTTGAAGAAGCCCCCGCCGGGGTGGATCAAAGTCGATGTCGACGCTGCAATTTTCTTCGGAAATGCGAGGGATTTGGAGCGGTGGCTCGGGATGCATCGGGTTCTTTCCTTGGAGCATCAGTCCGCAGGGAGCGAGTTGAGTGGCCAGCTGAAATGGCTGAACTCCGAGCCATGGATCTTGGCCTACAGCTGGCAGAGAAATTGGGGCAGCAGGCGGTGATAATCGAGTCAGACTGCCAACAAGCCGTCTTCAAACTGCTTGGGGAGGAAATGACGATGCTCGAGGCCGGATCGGTGGTGGAGGAACTTAAGGAAAAAGATAGGAACTTTGGAGAGGTAAAATGGCAATTTGCCAGGCGGGCCTGTAACATGGCGGCCCACAACCTTGCCCACATACAATGTAATTGGGATTCTCAGGAAGATTGGGTTGGCAGACCACCCATCTTCCTTCTTGCTGAGTTGGACCATGACTTTTTAAGCCATTAATAAAAGAACACGATTTCTGTAAAAAAAAAAAAAGTAGTTAGTAGGTTGTTAAGGGTAAATGGGGTATTATAAGAAAATAATTAATGTCATTAATAATTAAACAATTGTTCTCTCTCTTAAAACTCACTAACTTAGAATTAAAAGAAAATTCGGAACTATTTAATGAAATTCCAATTTTAAAAATGAAATTCGAAATTAATATTTAATATTTTAAAAATAGAAATTCCAAATAAAAAAAGCTCACACCCCCTCTTTGTAGCGATTTCCATTAGCGTTATTAAAGCTTCCAATGATATTATTAATGTTTATGACAATAACTATTATTCATATATTCCACCATTATTAACTATTTTAATATACTTATCAATGCTTTACGAAAACATTATTAACAATATAGGATGTATTTTTACCGATTTATATTTTTGTCATCAACACTTATGAAGAAATAATTAAAGTTATACCACATAATTATTAATGAATCTAATAACATTATCATTGATTTACAACATTTTTATTAACAACTCTTCCATAACCTTAATAATATGAATAACTCTATCGTTGATCTCAACATCTTTATTAACAATTCACGTTTTCAAGTCATGTTCATAACTAACCAATCATGACTCTTACAATGACTTCCAATTACATTATTAATATTTATGAAATAAATTATTATTGATATACCCATCATTATTAATTATTTTAATATATTTATCAATGCTTTAATATTATAAGAGTTTACATCGAAACGTTGATAATGACACTCTTAATTATTAATAACGAAGTTGTGTTGGCATTGAAAATAGAAGCAAAATATTTTTTTATGAATAAATACAAGCAAAATCATTGGTAATGATTGCATCCAAATGGGTAATACCAATATAACATGTTATTAACATTTAACAACTCTCTACTCAAAATGTTGATAAAGAACGTTATAAAACCTATTAATAGCTAAGTTGTGTTTCGTTTAAAATACAAACAAAAATATTGATAATGATCATCAACCATACTACACATTATTAATATTTCTTTATCAAACATTGATATATTCGTAGCCACCCATTAATAATGATACAACTTTTTATACTAATTATTAGAAAAACTTTAATAACCATAACATAAGTCATTAACAATAGCTATATAAAAAACACTAACAACGTTGTTGTAATCCATTCAAAAGAAAAGCAAAAGCGGTAAACAATGCTTGGTTCCTAGCCAAATTCTTGTCAATGAAAACACATTGACAACAATAACTATGAAAGGTTAATAATAACTACAACGATGCAATAACATGATCTGTGAATGTATTCCAGCCACTGTAACGTATAGGATAAGTTTTCCGATTGCCATTACAAAATGGTATGGCTCAACAGAAAAGCATACGTGTTTTTCGTCAAAAAGGGTAGATTTTATCGGATGTCCCCGAAGGGACATCCGATAAAATCTACCATTTTTGACGAAGGTGGCGAGAACGAGATGCAAGTGCTCGCCAGTAATAGAATCAAGCTGGAATAAACCCGACACTTCTACCTGTTGGGATGAATAGTTTTGAAAAGCTATAATGAAATTCCTAATTAATTATCCAGTATTTTCCCCATAATATGAAAATAAGATGGATAATTAATAAAATGAATATTATCGAGATAATTAGGAATAATTATCTTAGTAGATTATATTTTAATTATGGTAGTAATTATCTCCCTAATTAAAATGTGACTTATTCCCAAAGAAATAGGGGAATATTCTGGGTTTTCTGCACCTATAAATAGGAGACGCCCCAGACCCTCTAAACACACCTCAGAAGAGGAGAAACACGAGAGAGAGTGAATTCATAGAGCTCTGGTTTTCGCACAAAATCGATGAGCAACAAATCAGAGTGGTTGTTTTATCCTGGAGGCGAACGACTGATAGTCTGTTGTGCGCAATACGAGGCAGTGTCGCGAACGTCTTAAAGAGAGCGACCTAGTCTGTGACTCAGTCAAATCGGTAACCCTAATTTTCCATGTTCGGTTTCTAACACTACCTTCTTAACTAATTTCCCCACTCCTAATTGCCGCACACCTGGTTCGCAAGATGGAAGTGCTTGCCTGCGAGAACAAGAAGAGAAGATGGGACCGAAAGGAAGATGTGGTTGCGGGAGGAAAGTGCTCAAAGGGAGTAAAAAAATAAACCCTAACCTACTATACTAAGAATTCAGCCATTATTATATTTTTATTATAGGTTAGAATAATGTCTATTTATTATTCAAACTTTTTTAACATTCTTTTATTTTATCCAAACTTATCGAAATTCTATTTATTATCCAAATGTATTGTAAATGATCGAAGTCTGGGCATTAATTATGTTACCGTTAACTATTTTCTAACGGTGCTCCATCTCAGCGTCCACCTCAGAAATGAACACACTTTAAATTTATTTTTCGGGTAAATGTCACGTTTGATCGCTAGGTTTACTAAAATGGGTCATGTTTAGTCACTGGAAAAAATTAATATCAGTGTTGGCACTCAAATTAGCAAAACGATCCACGATTAATCATTCTTCGTTTGTCTCCATTAACACCGTTAGTTAATTGCTTAAGTGGCTAATAAAAGTGTTGACTCGCCTTTTTTTAACCCACCACATCACCAAACCCGAACCGCCACGTCATTTTTCCCAACCCAATTCTTAAACCCAAACAACCTATGAACCAACTCCTCTATCCCTCTCTCTCCTCTTCGTGCATCTCTCTCTCCTCAAAACCATCAGCCAATTCATCCACGAGTATTAAACAGCCGTAAGCAGCATCTTTAGTTCTTTATTTTTATACAAACACCAACACATTCCTACCTATCGTTCCACAAATACATCCAAATTCCAATCTTTTTACTAACGCTACCAAACCCTTCACTTACAATGCTAGCGCCAGCGAAGCGAATCAAAATAGGCCTAATCAAGTCAACCATCGGAGCCGGAATCTTGACCTCGATGTGGGTCTTCTCCGTCCCACTCCTCGTAATCTCCTCGGACATCGTATCCTCCTTCGCGGTGTCGAACCTAAATCCCTCGCCGACATCTTTATCACCGTCGACATCGTGGCCACCTTCGTCCTCTTCTTCAGCACAATCAGATCACTCCTCGGCGGTGCCATTTTCAACCCAACTATCACCGTCTCCCTCTACGCTGCCGGCCTCAAACTGTCTCCCTCTAAGTTGGTAGTGATGGCCATTTGAACTCGCCCCACGAGTATTACCTGATCTGATCCACGATGGGGCGGGTATTACCTGACCCGCAGTAGCGTAAGACATGGTATGGGTATCTACTTCTGCCCTGTCCCATTCTTGGCCCATTTTACTTCAAATACTTACAATATCTATTCATATTTATCATATTTGACTTTTCTTCAGCTAGTTAGAGTCGACTCTAAACTAGTTAGACTTAATTACCTGTTATATTATCACTATTTTTCATTCCTAAAGTGTTTTCCTCTTCGACCCACCCCGCCCTATTGCCATCACTACAAGTTGGAGGATCAAGATAATTACTAGAATATCAAGGATGATTTGTCCATTAAACAAAACCCAAAGGAGCGACAGCCTTCATGAAATCTTCGTATGAACCCAAGAGGAGTCTACTGGAGAAATTTTAGCCCAATCTTGCAAGAGAAGTCATGGCGGCCATGTGATGGGTTCAACCACAGTTAGCCCAAATCCAATAAATCGCACAGAAAATCCATGGAGAGATTACTTGTGGCCCAAGCAACCAAATCAAGAAGAAAATGTCACACCTCTCCCTCACAATTATACCCTCTTAATTATATGTCTTATGTATGGTGATTTAGATACGTCAAAAATTTAATCAATCCTAAATGTTAAGTAAGCATATGTGAAATATATTAGGGTTTAACTTGGTCACATTGGAAGAATTGATTTTCCACCTACGGCCATTTCTTATGGATAGGGATAGGGAGTTAATTCCTCTTGTCTATATTGTGTTTACTTTGATCAATTAGTATTATTATACTAAACCGAAATGGTGGGTACTTGATTACATGATAGTGTTTCCTCTTGTTTTAAACTAACTAATGCCCTTATTCTGTGGAATGGGAAGAAAATTCACTTAATCCCACTACAACAAGCCATTTTTGTTCATTTCACCGGGGAAATAGAGGGAGAAGGAGAGATGTAAGATAACATTTGGCAGTGTTGGAGAACCTCTGATTCTGATGAAGAGTTGACTTTCATATTGCATTTGGCATTGTTGGAGAACGACAGATGTAAAATAGCCAAAATGCCATGTAGATCCTAAGATAAAATGGGACATGCTTGCGTTCAAGAACTCCTCTGTGGACATTCGTTTAATATATATGAAGCACTTCAAATGGTTTTCTTGCTTTGTGTGATGATTGAGGAATTGAAGCAACATGGTGGGTTGAAGGATACCACTAACGTCATGTTCGAAGAACAAGTTGCAATTTTCCTCAAGACAATAGGTCACACAAATGACTTCCGCGATCTTGCAGAATAATTTCAACATTCTACTGCAAGCATCTCAAAGTACTTAATCAAAGTGTTGAAAATAGTGGTGAAGCTTGCCAACAAGTTCATGGGCCGTTCACTTGCCATTTCGTTTCTTATAGTTGTGGCAACAGAAAACAAAATAAAATGAAAATGAAGCTATCGTTTTCTGAGAAATCAAATATGAAGAAAACTTGTTTAGCTGTGAATTGTGGTGAGTTCTGAAACTGAATTCGGAAAATGAAAAACTGTTTAGTTACTTCATACTGTTTTCTGATTCTTGATTACTACAATTGTTCATTGAGTAACATACAATTCTAGTGATGATTAAAATTTTTAATATGAATCGCATTGTTTTAAACTATTAATACACAACTTAACTAATATAAAATAAGTACTCTTACAAGTTACAACATCAAAATTAAATGTCAAATAAGTCTAGTTTGAAAGTATATGTTATGTATTTTGTTTCTGTGCCACTATGTGTTCTTTCATTCATTAAAACAAGATTGTGGCTGTTATCTCACTGACTAATTCTCTCTTTCTCTTCCCTGTTCATCTTCTTCCTATTTCTAATTCTCACTACCTTCCCCTGCTTTCTTTCTAACTCTCTGTTCCAATCCAACTACCCACTTCCTCCATCAAAAGCAGCAGCCAACCTTAAGCCCTGCAAAATCGATCCCTGCCTTCCGCTGCCGATCTGGGTAGAAGAGGGCGATCTGGGCGAAGAGAAAGATCCGACATAGGAAGACGTAGCAGCTGCAAAATCGACCCCTGCCTTCGTCAAGATCCATCTGATTGAGCGGACATGATATGTGGGATTGACGGGGGAGAAGGATGAAGGTCAGCTGCGGGAAAGAAACGTAGAAAAGTCGAATGGTGGGATTGAATTTTGATCCGAAAGGAACGAAGGTTGGGGATGAATTTCAGAGATGGAGAAGGGAAAGAGAGGTCGAGATAAAAAAAGGTGCGGTCGGGAATCGAATTCCCGATCTCATTAAACCAATTTCACGTTTTATCCGCTGGAACCGGGGGGAAATCAGTTTCTACATTTCCGGAAAACGACTATTTCTTGTTTTTTGCCAGCTACCCCATTTGGTTGCCCATGGTTTTCCCAAATAAAAACAGAAACCAAGTGAACACGTTTTTTACTCTTTGTTTTCAGATTTTGGTTGTACCAACAAAAAACAAAAACCAAAATGGGAAGTGAACAGGGCATCAATGTTCCCCCAAATTTTGGAGGTTGTTCCTGAAAGAACCTTTGGTTCAAAACATTATCCATATTTCAAGGTAAGCAATTCTCTTTATGATTGAGGATCAATATTCGAAAGCACTTTAATTATGACACCTACTCACAGATGAATTTAGGATTGCATCAAAGCAATAGATGGAGTTCATATTGACATAGTGGTTCCGAGTGGTGAGCAGATTCCATATCAAGGACGGAAGATGATGACACCTACTCAAAATGTAATGGTTGTTTGTTCCTTTAATATGCTCTTTACCTTTGTAATGGATGGATGGATGGGAGGGTACAACAAATGATGCAAAAATTCTTACTGAAACAGTTTCCAAACTCAATAACAAATTTACAATGCCACCACGAGGTATGAAATGATTGTCTCTTTATTTTAATATTATAATACACATCTAAAAGGACTAATTGACGTTTATATCATATAGGTAAGTATTATGTTGTTGATTCTGGATATGCAAACACCCCTAAGTTACAAAAGAAGCACGCCATTTTGAAGATATCGATCCTGGAGGTGGCAAATACTCTTAAGCAACTTTTCAAATATTATCATTTCTTCTTACGCAATGTTATCGAGCGTTGTTTTGACGTTTTGAAAACTAGATTCCCTATGTTGAAGCATATGCCTCCTTTTGCTCTCAAGAAACAAGCACACATTGTTATTGCATGTTATATACTGCATAACTTCATTAGGATCTACTCTGGTGACGACGCCCTGTTTGAAGAATATCAAAATTATTACATGGGGGAGAATGTCAATGGAGTGCAAAGAGGACAAGAAAGAGAAGCATATGATCTCAGTTCAAGCCAAACTCAAGCAATGGATGTACGACGTGATGGAATAGCAAACAAGTTTTTGAATGACATTCAAGCTAGACTTATTTGGAATTTGATGTTGTACTTGTATTGTGTTTATTGGTAGTTTAAAGACTATGTAATTTGAATTAAAAATTATAATCATGGTTAGGGTTGTATGATACCCAATGAACAAAATTGTGGTAATCAAGTACCAGAAAACAGTATGAAGTAACTAACCATGTTTTCATTTTCAGAATTCAATTTCAGAAATCAACTAAACAAGTTTTTCCTTAGGTTTTATTTCTCAACAAATAGACAACTTTGTTTTCATTTTAATTTGTTTTCTATTATGGCAGCTATATCTAGGGGTGGAAGTTTGGTTAGCGGGTTGTGGGTAATCCGTAAATCGCACCAAACCGCATACTTTGTGTGTAATCATACCCACAATTTGTAGATAGTGGGTTGGGTGTGGTTAGCAAAATATTTAGATTAGTGGTTAACCCATAATAACTACACTAATTATATTTATTTATTATACTTTGTAATATTATAATATGTGAAAAGTGGAAGTCTACAAAGTAAAGTACCTCCAAAATCAAATACATATTTATTTTATAAAGCAAGATCAAGTCAAACACAATGTCCGTGTGAGGTACTTTTATTAAATAAGTATTGTCCGCGTGGTATGTGTTTATTTTATAACGAAACCAAGTCAATAAATGTGGTTTATAGTTTATTTAACACTTTATTAATTTTTTAGGTTTTTGTTTTTGTGCAAGAATACGTTAATTTCGCAGCTCGGAGAGAGAATTTCATTTATCGCTAAAATATTTGAATAAAAAGCAAAGGAGTCATGCAAGTTGACAAAAATGCTATGTATATTTAGATTAGATCCCCTCCAGACCATACTCGTTATTAATATTCATTTGCTATAGAAATTTATGTGACTTGTAAGTGAGTGGAGTGAATTGAGGAGAGGGAGATTAACTACTTAGAAAGTTCCGAATACCGAAGCCTCGCTCGTTCCATTCTTGGGCTTCTTTGACTTATTTTTAACTCGGTGTGTGCTTTTTATCGTCAATCGACCGATGGATTTATCATATACGAGCTCGAAGGGAGAAGGAACGAAACTTTTGTGGGTATCCATATCCTAACCGACCAACTCGCAGTGGGAAGTGGTTAACTTTTTTCTGTGTAAACACTACCGACTGGGATACAGATTGTGGGTAGTATAATTCTATATTTGTGGTACCCACCCCTAGTTATATTCAAGTAAACGGCCCAACAAGGTGTATTATTGTGTTTTGGGAATCTTTTTGCTGTCAATTAAAAGCAAGGGTAGGGGTTATTTATTTCTATCGAGAACAAAAAGGCTTTCATGTGGAAGAGAGGGCGAGGGAAGAGGCTAAAATCAGGTGACTAAATGGGCTTTGTAATGTGTATTGAAGGGTGCTTGTACAACTTGCTTCATATTTTCAGTTTTGTCGCCATCGATTCCGTCGTCTGTTGGATCAAGTTATTATGCATTTTCATTATCCAATTAAAAGAATTTTGTCATATGTCTTATTGAACTCTAATGTGCTACTATATAGAAGCCAATATTGGTTTGGATTTTGATTGATGATGAGAGATGGAGAAAAAGCGGAAAAGAAAGATAGAAAAGGATTGGAAGGAGAGATCATGTGACCATTCATTTTCCCCTCTTAATTTTTCTTTTTTGTTAGTGAATATATCCCTTCTTTTTGTGCCTTTTCTTTTTTATTTAAGTTAATTAGAATAAAATGCAAAAAATATAAGTTGTCAAGTTAACACAAAAATGTCACGTCAATGTATCAAGTTAATATAGTCAACATAAGATCGATGGTGTTGTTATATTGACATATTTCATTTATGGAATGAATATATTTGTAGTATAAAAGGCTCAAGCTAAAAGCTATGATCTACGGACTACTTTCCTTTCAACTGACGGAAGAGAACATTAGCTTAGTTTGGTCCTGTTGTAGCTTTTACAGAAGCAGCTTCTGGCTAGAGCTTTTAGATAAGTACTTTTCAAAAAAAGCAGTTTAGTGTTTGGCTGTAAAACTATTAGAAGTGCTTTTTAATATGAGCGGTTGTGTAAAATGACTATAAAGGACTTATAATATAAAATATAAATAAAAATTCTAAACAATAAAAAGTAGTCAAAATGGATCTTGTTAGATTTCTTTTATATTAAATAATATGATTTTATATTTTATTTTATTTTAAAAATGATATAAATGAAGGAAAATTATATTTTCTGAAATAAAATTAAAATATGGTAAGGATAATCTTGTATTTTCAAAATAGCGTTTCGCAGAAGCTTCAAATTGGAGCTTCTGCTTTTATGTTATACAAAAGCGCTTTTCGGCTTTTCAAAAGCCGAGCTTTTAGAGGTGTTTGGCCCTGCTTCAGCTTTTAAAGCCGAAAAGCACTTCTAAAAGCTAGGCCAAACATAGGTCAATGAAGCCTATGTTGCCAACTTTCCATCAGATTCAGAGAAAGAAGTTGGGATATGTCCATTCCATGGGTCAAGCCTATTAGCCAGGACAGATTGACAACTCCACAAGAGAATCCACGTAGAAAAAGAACCTAGTCATGTCTCCTAAAGCAGAACCTTAAGGGGTCCATTTTAGCTCTCGGAATTGGCCGAGATTTCCTCTTTCAACTGACTATATTTGTCACGAAGGTCAAAGTTTTGGTTATGTATATGTATTTTGCAAGGATAGAAAAATCATACCGTATCATCGATTCAACTAGAAAAATCTACTACCAGAAGCAAAATCAGTAGGTGCTATTTAGCGGTATGAAACGTTTGAACCATGATTAAACCACGATTAAATCATGGTTTCAGTATAAAATACCTTGCCACTGACTTTTTTGGTACACTTTTTCAATCCTTGGTATTTTGTCTAAACTAAACCAGACTTACAATTCAATATTTGATGATAAAATCTATGTTACTTGAGGTTTGATTTCAGGATTAGTTTCATTCTATAGATATCACTAACTTCATTATAAAATATAAAACAAAAAATACCGAATGTCTCTAGTGTTTAATTAAAGAAATCGCAACAAATACGATGTAGTCTAGTTGCTTTTATTTTTATTTTTTTTAAGGATGATATAGATTTATCCTTTGTAGTCTAGTTGTTTATAAACTTATAATACTTTTTCTTTATTTGAGTGACATGAGTTCAAATAGTCAACTTTTTAATATATAAATAAATGAGGTACAATTACTAAATGGAGCTTTCTTGAATTGCTACCAGGCCACGAAATTTGAAATATGGGTTGCATTCTCATTCAGATTTAAAGCAGTGAGTTTTATTTAATCAAAAGAATAATAACAAATACGATATAGTTGGGGCAATTAAACCTTCCAGATCTTCCAGCGACTTCTCCTCCATCTGATTTTCGATTTCATCTTCCCTCCTCCCAGAAAAAGCCAAAATCGGCTTTCATCTTCCTCGCAACGGCAGTGTCAATCCGGCGAAAACCCTCGACTCCGTGGGTGTGATTCCGATTCTCCCATCCCTCGACGCCGTGGGTGTGATTCCGAAATCGGCTTCCATCTTCCTCGACTCGTAGTGTGAACCCGCATCTCCCATCCATCCGTCCGATTCTCCCATCCCTCGGAAGTGTCAACTCGCATCTCACATCCCTCGGCAGTGTCAACCCTCGACTGTGTCAACCCGCATCTCCCATCCCTAACGATGTCATAAAGGGGCAGTCGGGGTGCTCGCAAGAATGGAGGCGATTCGGGCTCAACAAGCGTCAAGAGTGGGTTTTCTTTCCTATGCGAACACAATGTCCCAGCTGTGATTAATACCTCGGGGACTGAGTTGAATCCAGGAAGGCAGTTCTATGGCTGTCGTTATTGGCGGGTAAGGTCATTCCATTGTAATTGATGATTGTATTTGTTTGTTGTTTTGTTGGCTAAGGAGGGTCGATGGTTTGCAGGATGGGAAAGGATGTAGATTTTTTAGGTGGGTGAATGGCAATGAGGAGCCATTAGATTCGAGGAACCATGAGATGGAGAGTATTATTATGAACCTGGAGGAGAAACTAATGCTGGCCGAATCTAATGCTGAGAAGAGGAAGAAGGAAAAAAAGCTACTGACAGAAGAATTAAGGAATTGGATGCAAGTTTGCCAAGTTAGATTGGCTGAAGAGATCCGGGTCATGAGATATATGTTGACTGTTTTGTTGATCATGAATGTGTTTTTGTTTGTGGTTCTGTGGAGGAAGGATTGTGGTATGTAGAAGTTTTTGTTTTGTTGATCATGTAAGTTGGGTATGTAGATTTTAGAGTTCATGTAAGTTGGGTATGTAGGTCAAAGAGTTCATGTAAGTTTGCTATAACATTTTGGAATTCAAGGATCAAAGAGTTGCATAACATGCATTACATAACAAGTGCATAACATGTTCACACCACTTGGATACATCACATAAGCTGTTTTTGAGCCCATAATAGATCATAACAAGTACATAACAAGTGCATAACTTTGTCCACACCACTTGTTCACATCACTTAGCTACACTACACCTAACAGAAAGTGAGCAATCCGAAAGGCTTATACTAGCCATTACATGAGTCGACCAAAACAGCACCTAACAACCTACAACCTCTGTTGCTGGCCTGTACAAAAAATGACTCAAAAAGGTTGCTTTCATGACCCTCTAAGGCTGAGTTGGTGGTGGCTGGCTTCCATGTAAGTCCACCACAGAAGCTTGGGCTAAAGGAAATTTTGGTTGCTCTCCATGAGGGCGACCACGGTCACCATTCATCTGTAAATGTAAGAAAAAACATTCGTAAGTTATGAGGCAACACTTGACAAACTTATTTACCCTTACATTAATATTTGTCAACTCACCCTAACATATTGGTTCCCCGTGTTCTCATCGACATACACACCCACACCAGCAGCTGCACGACGTATTTCCCTATCAATCGTAGCTCGATCTCCAACATTCAATCTCACGACCTTATCAAAACCATATAGTCCATAGTCATTCACCATTCTCACATCATTGCGAAAATAAATTAACAGTAATCAACCATTCACACAAGAGTCCAATTGCAAGCTTACCTGTATCCCTAGACCCCTATTTAATGGACATATTCTGTGTATTTCTCCGAATCTGGCTATATTTGTCACAAAGTGCAAAGTTATGGCTATGGAAGTGAATTTTGCCTTTTATTTTTCAGCTATAAATATACGTGTAGACTGTAGAGATTAAAAAAAATTTCTTTACCCCAGTGAAATTAACCTTAACCCTTATTCCCCCAATTCTCCACAGCGTTCACCCCATGACAAGAATTCCCCCACTCATCGCCAACCATTATTTCCCCACCGAGTCGAGCCAAACTGAAACCCTTCTTCCCACCACCACTCCCCGCCGCTCGACCCAGGGAAGCAGCAGCGACTGTGAAGAGAGTGAAAGAAAAGAAGGAGTGACCTCGCGCGTCAACGACAGTTCCCAATTGTCCAAGACTAAGAGGCAATGACGATAACCCCAAGTCATTTCCTAGTTTCTTTTTATCAATTAAACTAATCCGAACCTATTAATCATGAACCATAGCTTGAAGACAAGGAAATCAGGGTTTAATCGGTGTCCAATTGAGGAGATCGACGAATAAAGTCTTTGAATTTAAATGTAGGCATGTTTTAGAGGTAAGGAACCTGATCCCTTTGAGTTGAATCGAGTTTTCTTGTGATATTTTGTGAGCGTGTAGTTTTGGAAATTTAGCGACAGTTTTTACAGGCTTTTAGTTTTTGGTTAGTCACTAAAACTGTAGAAAATTTTCAAAAACGTTATTGAAGTTCTTTAAATTGTTTTAGCCACTACAGGAGATTTTTTCTGCAATTAACAGTTTTAGAAATTGAAGGAGATATAGGAGGTGTTTGTAATTTAATTTGACGATTTTTGGAGTTGATTTATTAATTTTAGAAATTAGTCGAATAATGATTTCAATCATGCCGAGGTGCTTTTAAGAATTTGATTATTTTCCAGGATATTAGTCCTAATAATCGACCTTGAGAAATTATGATATGGATTTTTAAAGATGTTTAAGTTGGGCGAAACATTCGTCCAAGACGAAACAATTAGAAAAAGGTCGGTTTTAGAAGGGATTATTGCGGGAAAATTTTTAAAGGAGTTTAAGGAATCTTTGGAAAGAGGTTCGAGGATTGTAATCTGAGGAGAGGGTGTTCGGGTAATTCAAAAGGAATGTTAAAATGAGAAAGGGTCGTCTAAAAATGAATTCCTCATTCATAGGTTTTCCCGTGATAATTCGGCGAAGGAGGGATTTCTTCGATTAAGGGATCGAGGAGTCATTTTTTCGAGGTGAGTGTAAAAAGGGTAAATTCTACGTCGAGATTTTAAGTTTAAGCTTTATGATTTTAAGCTTTCAGTTACGAGTTATAATTACTCGGGATGCATGTTTGAGGATTTCTTTTCCTAGATATTTGAACTAGGATAATTGAGTATGTATGAGGCCTATAGATATAAGTTGAGGTAATCCACCGCCTACTGAAGGTGAGGAGAGGATTTTGAGGTACTTCACCGCCTAATGAAGGCGAAGTTGATGTGTATGTGAGGTGTACGTGATGAGTGAGTGTGAGTAAGGAAAGGAAACCCCCGGGTGGTTGGATCACTACTGGACGGCCATACGATACACAGTAGTGATTAGGCATGGTACCGGACATCGAAACGCGAGCCATTTCCTTAAGAGGTTATGACACCGGACGGCTATACGAACGCAATGGTCATATGTTATGAAGTGTTTAGTTTATGAGGTTAATGGTGGGGAGTAATGCCAACTCCCACAAATTCATTTAAATGATAAGGTTAAAGGAAGGGAGTAAGAACGACTCCCGCAAAGTAAAAGGCAAATGTTTAAGGTTTCTTTGATTACAATGTTTGAGTTTTGAGGGTGGCGAGTTATAACAACTCTCACATGTTTAAGTGTTAATGTTAAAGGGTGGAAGTATAAATAACTTTCACCAGTTTGTAAGTTGAACACTTGAGGGAGAAACCTTAAGTGCTCTGAGGTTTTAGTAACGGCGTAGACTGACCTCTTCTCACTCACCACATAGAAGAAGGGTTAGAGGGCGAGTAGCTCGAGAGGAGATAGTGCGAGACGAGCAACAACATCATTAGTGAAGATTTCTTAGGAAGGATCACAGTAAGGACTTGTAGTTGTACTATTTAGTTGTTTTCGTTTCATGATTATGAGTATAACCTGGAGATTTATTGTTGTTTTATTTGTTTGATTTTTAAGAACTTTTACTCTGCTATGGAGCAACCGTTTTATATTTTTGGTTAAAAGGACCAGGATGTTACATATCGTGTTAACCATTTTAACCGGTAGTATTTGGATAATTTGGTTTGGTTAATTTGGATAACGGTTTGGTTTGATAAATTTTTTAGTTTGTTTGGTTTAGGTGGTTTGGTTTGGTTTGGTTTCATACTCATAGTCAATTAAACCAAATTAACCAGTTAAGTAATTAGCCATATATCTCATAAATATTATATACACATACTTAATACTTTGCATAACCACTAAAGTGTCAAACGTTCCTCCCTCTTCGACTTATAAAAAATAAAGTTCAAGATTGTTCATATACTTTATATTTATATTTGTAGAGTGTAGACTACAACATATGGACTCCCATTTTAGATAAAACTCATATAATCTGTTGAATGAAAATTTGAATTGAAAGGTCTATTTTACTCTATGTAATTGCTAAGAGAATAAGTCAATTTACAATATATAACATTTCATGAACCCCATACCATTAACATATATTTTTTTCATGTGAATACTTTTATTGATAGTAAGATAATTGTATTGATTACATGTATTTATGTTAAGGGTTAACTATAACTATATGTTGATTGTTATGTTTTGTTCATTATATAAATTGTGAATTGATATATTAGCCAAAAAAATTCTCATTTAATGATAATGTGTTGTCATATTGATTATTCTGATTAACCAATTAACTAAACTAATTAAATTAGTTTAGTTAATTTGGTTGTTGTATTAATTTGGACCGTTTGGTTATAATATTGTATATTTGTATTTCATAATTAATAAATTTTAGACTTATTTGGTTTGATTATTAACATGATAAACATTTGAACACTAGTTATCTTTCCATAATTACCCCTTAAACGCTGACTTCTGTCATCGTTTTGTGTCAGTAATCTTTCGGAAGGCGTGGACTTCCTCTTCAACTCTTCTTCCCCATTACCTTTCCTTCTTTCTCTGTTACTCTATTTTTTTCCCGAATTAGATAATTGTTTTTAATATTTACGCTGAGAGGCAATCCCATAAATATATCCCCGCCTCTCTTCCTCTGTATCTCTGTACTCTTCAAGCCTGCTGCTTTCCCTATCTGGGAATCTAGGGTTTTCGCGATTCCTTACCCTCTTCAGATCCAATTCCATATTTAAAAACCCTAACTTTCTCTTCTTCCTCCCTCAAATTCCGTCTTTTCCCGTAATTTTTGCTTTTTGGGTCTGGGGGTTTCGATTTGTTTGGTCACTGACTTCCCCCCGAAGCAAGCCGTTACTGTCTTCCCCGGCGCGGCCGTTTACTCCAATTTGGTGTTGGGTTTCCGGTGAAGTTCAGTGCTTGATTTCGCTTTTTTCATTTTAGGAAGTAGTCGATTTTAATGGCTAAGATGGGCGAGGAAGAGGTTGACTATGAGAGCGATCTAGAGGAGGAGAAGCATCCCCTGGGATTGCGGAGGCGCGAGGCTGCCAGTGATGACGAGGAAGTTAATGGCGAATTGGAGTTGAAACGTCTTGGACTGGATCGGAGGGCGCCCATTCATTCCGCTGATGAATCTGATGATCAAGGTGGGGCTGCGGATTATGATGATGAAGAGGAAGAAGAGGAGCCATTAGATGGAGGGGAAGAAGAAGATTATGAAGAGGACGGTTATGTGGTTGGGAGTGAGGGGGACAATGTGGAGGAGGTTGAAGGTTTTCTGGGCCAGAAAGTCCAAAACATAATTTCGGTAAGAGGAGAAGATGGTGAAGGTAAGGGTGATGAAAGAGATATGGAGGGTGAGAATTTTGAAGAAGGGATCGACGAGAGGGAGGGTGAGGATAATGTTGGCGAGGAGGGGGATGAGGAGGGGAAGAAAGAGAATGAACCTTTCGCTGTGCCAACTGCTGGGGCTTTTTACATGCACGATGATCGGTTTAGGGAAAGTTCTGGTCGTCAAAACAGGCATGATTTACAGCCTCCATTCCTACTTGAAATAAATTAGACCTGTTTATGATCTCCTAAGGATTTGATGTTTCCTGTGGCAAAATCTTCCATATGATGTGCCTAAAATTATTCAATGCTATGGCTTTTGGATATGGGGTGTTATTTTCATAAGTCGAAGTAATTGGGATGTGGTAAGAAGCGGTACAAAAATTGTTGGGTACTGTAATGCAGTTAGCAATTATTAAAAAAATGTGAATTAGTCTTTCCACCGTTGCTATGTTCGATTGACACATCTATGTGCTCCACTACGTAGCTTAATAGGATGAAACACTGGGGGCAGAGGTTCATGCAGAGGGGTCCGATAAGATAAGATGTTAATGTTCTTCTTGAAATGACTGCCGGCTGATTGTCATGGGTGTTTCTTATTATATGTTCTTAACTTCCTCTTACCGCCCCAACTTAAAATATTTGGGAACTGTACGCATTTGGGTCTGGTGATAATAGATCAGTAGGTAAACAGCATGTGTAGTTTTGCTTACATATTTGGTGAGAAAACTTTGTGGACAATCTACTGGTAAACGGAAGGTACTTGCATTCAATTGGTACATGCGCTGTTTTGGTGAGAAATATAACTCTTGCTTGTTGTCGTGTTTTCTGTTTGAAATGAACATTTATAGCTGGTTCTGGTCACATAGATGATGAGTAAAAGAAGTTGATGAGAGTTCAACATTATTTTGTACCCATTTCCTGGTGTAGGCGAACATATGGTGGGAGGAAGCTGTGGGAGTCCACAGATGAGAAAAAGTGGGGGCATGACAAATTTGAAGAGATGACTTCGCTAGAAAGACATCATGACCAGGTGATTATTCTGTCACATGGTATATTTTGATGAGTCAGTGCTCTTGCTTTGTTCTCTGTTCTTGTTCCTTTTTGCATTGCATTTAGATATCTATCTTCTGAAAATGACATGAGAAGTATTTTAGGGTAGAAGAAACTCTAGAGGTAGTTATCGTGGGCGTGGTGGTAAAAATCGTGGTCCAGAACAAGGCTATGGAAGAAGGAGCAGCTCTGTTGCATTGAGCAATGGGGACAATCAGAGCCAGGGACCTAAAAGTGTCAGGGGAAGAGGTCCCAGAAAGTATGAACCTAACTGGAAACACAGTAGCCCTACATCTTCGTTGCAAAATAAGCACCCTGTAGAGAAGACTTCATATGGTGGTTCGGGAAGAGCTATAACAGTTATGTCAAATCCTGAATCAGAGCAAGTGCCTACTGCAAGAAAACATTCAAGCTTAAATTCAGCTTCTCCTCCATTTTATCCTTCTGTGTCTTCAAGTAAAGATGTTACTGTGACACAGAAAAGTAATATGCAGTCTGGAAGTGTAAGTCGGAACAATGTGCAGCCGACTGGTACCTTAGCACGTGGGAAAAATGTCTCTGATACTGTTGGCATCGACAAACTTTGTATTGATGACCGTGCTCCATTGACTACTGGGAAGGCATTGAATAATGTTCCAATGCCACACGTTTCTTCTTCTTCAGTGGTCAACAACTCCTCACTAAGGTCTCAAACCAGGGCCCAGGAAAGAGCTGTACCTGGTTCTGGACAGGTGGGTTATCAACCAATTGCCTCTCACAACCAAGTCTGCAGAACCTTTCCAGTAGTTCAACATCATGCAGTTCAAACAGGTGTTTCCCAAGGCCGGATTCAGTCCTCTGCTCAAGCACTTAGTCAGCAGTCATCAAAGCCTTCTGGTGGAAGATCTCGAGCTTCTTCTCCACCGAATTCTGCGGTGTCAGAAAATTCTTATGAACATGGTGAAGTTGAAAGTAATTCAGAGTCTAGTAAATCTAGGACTGCATTGGTTGGGAAGGGGAAAGGTCCGCTCCTGTATGGAGGTGCTCAAGTTGTGGCTACCTCTGGCGGTATGGGTGTTGTTCCTGGTGATCAGAACTTCCCTGCAAGACCTGCTTTCTTTCCTGGTACTGTCTTTTGCATCTTATTGTATGCTATTATTTATTATTGGTTTTAAGCAACATATGTATTGAAATACTGGTTTGTTTGTCTGAGCCTTATGTAGCTTTATGTTTGTTGTGTCTATAATTTCATTTTGCCTTAAGTTTTCTGTTCTGGGGTACGTCTTCCTTTCGCTCTTAAATTCTTTGTTGCATGTTTTTTTAACAAGACCACTCCCACTTTAAAATTACCAGATTCAGGAAAATAAGTTTACTTTACTGGAGGTTTCCTTTTGCGTTCATTTTTTTTTAGAACTTTCTCTGAATAATTGCAGTATATGGTAGGTTTGAAATTTATATAATTTGTTTCATTATTGTTTTGGCATGCAGTGATGCAAATTGGAGGCCAGCATCCTGGTGGAATGGGTGTTCCTGCTCTTGGCATGGCTTTTCCTGGATATGTTGCTCAGCATCAACATGGTTCTGGGAATTCAGAAATGGCATGGTACTTTGTTCTTTAGTCTCTATCTAGCTGCAGTTGCTCTTCTTGGCAATTATTATGCAGCAGTTCATTGCCCTTAACTAGTGGTTGATACAACTTTCCATGTCTTCTTATAGTGTTCCTGATGATGGTAGAATAGAATGCTGATGGTGTTCAAAATTCTTATTATGTGTGCAGGTTGCCAATTTTGACTGGTGCTGCAGGAGCTTTAGGTGCCGCATACTGTAATCCCTATCTTACAGTTGATGGTTCTTCTTATCATGCACTCCCAGCCGGGCAGGCATCCTCCATGAGTTCTTCAAGGTTAGCTTTGATAATGCAGGGTTTCATTTAGCATATTCATGTTGATTATGGTAAATTGGCCTGCATATGGCTTCCCCTGCTGGGTAGTTCTAGGCTTCTTTTGTTGGAAGTATTCTTCATTTGTGTACCACCCTAAACACTTTATCTCTGCTGGAGACATTCATGAAAGTGTATAGTTTTTCTTGTTAGGAAGAATTATTGACTGACCAATCAGAGAGGCTGCTGTTATTTTTTAAATATTTTGCAGAATCATCCTCGTTCATATCAGAATCTCTGAAACCATTAAAGCCTTTTTGTTGTATTTCTTACATTTGGTGTCCCACCCCTTTCTATATTAGCAGGTGCAGAGACCTGTATAGTGGTCGCAGCGTAGGGCATTGTCATAAGCAATCTGTATTTTCTAAGCTTCCAATAATTGAAGTGATGCATGAACACTAGTGTTTATAGTTTGGTGGTATCTTTCGCAAGTTTCTGTTCCAAAGCAAAAAGTGGCAGCAACTGGTTCACCTGATGGTAATTTTAGCTGTTCTATTCGTTGTATTTGCAGCAAAGAAACCAACACAAGCAGATCAAACAATGACTTGAAACCTTCAAAAAGACCTGGTAGGAAATGTAAACGTTTACCTATTATGCTGTCTTTGGTCCTGTTAGTTGTCTAACCTCATTAAATTAAATGGTAACTGATCAATGTTGGTTGTTTGCAGAGGCTGTGGGCGATGAATATGGGCAACGACAGAAGCCTCGCAGGCAAGTTGATATCTCTATCCTGTTATGCATAATTATTATTTATCTTTGATGTCTTAAAATTAATTTCTCCTTTTTGTTCCTACAGATACTCAGAAATGGATTTTAAGCAGCCAAGTACAAGTACCTAGATGTGGGGGTATACATGTTTGGAATAGGAATTAAAGGAAGGTTAGATTCTGCTGAAAATTAGAGCTTCAGCCCTGGTCTTTTGTCATTCGTGTTTTCTTCAAACCTTTGAAACCTCAATTTTAGTGTATTTTTTACATCTACGAAACTCTAGCGTTTTTATCACTTGATGCAGGTCGCGTGTGCTTACATCAGGCCCTTTGTGTTCTCCAGCATGGAGTGCTTTGGGCGACAGACTGTCCCAGAGAAATGTTAGGTATATCTCCTCATGCTTAGGGTTACAAATTCAGTTAGCAATGAAACATTCTGCCGAACAAGGTTTGACTGTTAAAAGAAAAAAAAAGCAAGGTATGACCTGCTGCATGTAATGCAGTTATAGGTAACAACAAACACCTGCTCGTGCTGGAACATTAGTTATGTGGCTTGACGGGTGACAGTTCTTGTTTTAACATGGGTATGTACGACTCTGAATTTGAACATCCTTTAGACTGCAGAGAAGTCATACCATCTGGTTAATTGTGGGTTTGTGGTTGGGGGTTTTCAGGTCTTCTTGTGGCTTGGTTTTCAAACTGAAGCATATGCGGAATGTGTAATATCAGGGGAGGGTTTCTCCCGGGGACAGTCAAGTAGAGAGTACAAAGGGTATTTCCAGATGGAGTTGTGCAGAAAGCTGTTTGCTTTGTTGCGCCTTGTGATTGATCAGGGAAAGCTAAGAGATTGGTTTCTTGTGAGATTTTCTGTTTTTCTCTTTCGTACTGTAATTTGTAAGGGTATTTTGCTTCGGTTGAAGACCGGAACACTGTGTGGAGAGACGTGAGGATTTGTATCTGTTTTCTAAAGCTTGGATTAGATTGTTGTTTATTTTAATCTGTTAGGATGAGGGAATTGTTGAAAGCTGCTTTTGTTTTGAATAAGAGGGGGTAGATATCAAGTTTGTTTACTGGGTTTACTAAAATATGTCATGTGTCATGTTTAGACTCTGAAAAAAATTAATATAAATTTTGGTTACTAGTAAAATGGTACATGTTTAGTCACTCTCCGTTAACTTTATTTGTGGCAGTCAACTTTAACAGTTATCGTTAAATTTCCACCACCAAAAAAGCTTTTTCTCCATGTCCAAGACAATTGGCAGTCATTTAAACTCGTGTTTAAAACCTTCAGACAAGCTAGTGATGACCATCGTCCTGTGTTGATGATTGTGCACATCTTTTGCATAAAAAATGTCTTGACCCCATTGGTCGCAAATGAGTGATAAATGTCTTGACCCCATTGGTCGCAAATGAGTGATTCATTCTTGTTTTGCATGTGAGGACATATGTTGCCCCGTCGTTTGTTTGTTGTACTTGAGTTCTATAAATAGTTAGTTGTGGTTGGTGAGTAGTCTGGTCAAGACTTGCATTGATTTGTGAATAGGGTGAGAATTTTTCATTTGCACATTCTTGATGCAATCAATGTCGTTTGTGGTGGATGTCGGTATTGTTTGAGGCGGCTCATGTGGATACCCAATAGCCATTGAGATTCACCACTTTGTGTTTTTTGATTTGTTCCCAAGTTATTTTATTAGTTCAAGATTTCACCTTGGTTGAAAATGGTTTGTTTGGGGACAAGCAGGCGTCTAATGTTGGGGGAGTGATTCGGGCTCATTTGTACACTTTTTACCCCTGGTTTCCTTATTCGTTTAAAGCATTTTTACTCAAAGAGGTTTGGTTTTACTCCGGGTTTTGCCTCATTTTGGTGTTTTTCAGACTATGGCAGGTGGAACCAATCCTAGAGTCGGAAAGTTGGACGAAAGGGCGAAAAATCAAGTCAAAGGGTGGAAGCAGCAACAGATCACGGTTGGAGCTGTGTGTTCACGCCTTCACGGTAACTAAGACCGTGAACTGGAGCAGCAACATCCCTATACCCGTGGGTTTCGGGTACCCATTGGTAATACCCATCCCCGTACATCCAATATTATTATACCTAAAACTTACAACAAAGTTTTAAGGGCTAATACCACTGGGAAACCCAAACTATTAACTTTGTGCCATTTGTGTCCTAAAGTATTCGATATGACATTTGTGTCACAACGTATGATAGTTGTGTGTCATTTATGTCCTGACGATTTTGTTGACCGTTATAGATAACGGTTGACCAAACGGAAGTCAACATTAACATTGACTTCTGTTGACGTGGCAGCCACGTAGATGCCACATCAATAACACCTCATATTTTTTTATTTAAAAATAAATCAAAATTAAAATAGAAAAATTACAAAATAAAAAATAATTAAGAAAATAAAATGAATGTGTTCTTCTCCAACTATTCGCTTCTCTCTCAACAAATTTCCAAACCCAGAAAACCCTAATTTCGACGATCTGTGACCCAACGAAGAAAATTTGGGCAATTAAGCACGAGACAACCGACGATGATTAATCCTACTCCGACGGAACAACGAGGGCTCTGTCCCTCATCCCTCTCTTCGTCGCGACACAATCTTGAAGCTCGCGATAGTCAACCCGAACTGACGACTGCGATAGTCCTCAAGGGCCCCGTGAGAGCTTCACGGAGGAGCTCGAACAGATTCATGGTGGCGACTACAGATCCTACACAATGACCAGCTACCAGAAAGGAGATGATTCCTCTAATTTCGTTTGGGGTCGGGATTTTAATCCTAGGTCTTCTGGCACTTCCGATAGATGGTGATAATGACTTGTTGAAGACTGCATTTTCGCCTTTTCAGATCTGATCATCAACTCCGAATCGCCCCTACTGGGTTGCGAGATAGGCTTCGATTTAGGGATTTTGCAAGGTATGGATTTGAGAAAGAACCTGAGATAGCCTTTAGAAGCTTCGATGGAGGAAACCGTAGAAGAACCAATTGTCCCAGTGTTGTTCCCCTGTTCCTCTCTTACTTCTTTCTTCTTCTTTGTCGTTGTCTTCGACGAGTTGGAGGTATTGGAGTTTCCTTCCCGTCGGGGATCTTCGGCTTGTATCTGTTCGACGGAGGGAAGGGGATGTTCGGCGGCGGCACGACACGATGAAGGGTTGGAGAACCGGTGTCGAGTGAGGAGAGAGGAGACCAAGAGATTTTTTTCTTAATTTTCTGTAAGTTTATTCATTTTTTGTGAAAAATAAATAAAAATAAATAATGAAATTCCACGTCCGATGTCACATCAGCGCTGACTAGACTTTCAGTTAAAAACTAACGGTCAAAGCCAGTCAACTCTAACAAAAAATAGTTTAGGACACATATGTCATATCGAATACTTTAGGACACAAATGACACAAAGTTAATAGTTCGATTTCCTAGTGGTATTAGCCCAAGTTTTAATTATAAATCTAAACGAACATATTATAGCATGAAGTAAAAAGAAAAAAACATGGTCATTTTCTTAATACGGTTCAAAGAATATGATCCTAAAACATCCATTAATACATAATATAGAGTACAGTATTTTCAAATTATTATGCTCTAACTTTGATACACCTACTAAGTAATAATTAACGATCATAATTTTGTTGACAAGGGTGAAAGTGAAAGAGTGAAAGGAGAATTGAGGGAAATGAATTATGTTTTGATTAGGGTAGTCACTTAATTGAATTTCTACTATTTATTTTCTCGAGCTATCCTCATCATCATTGATAGATTACAATTTGATTCACATATTTTTTTAATATGTGAAGAAATTCTCTTGGTGGGGCGAGTATGGGTATGGGGCAGGAGATGCTAAAACCATACTCGCCCCATACCCATCAAACTTTTTGCGGGTTTTACCCATACCCGATCAAAGCCGGGATTCCCCACGTTGACTGGGTTGGAGGCGATCGGGTAGCCGCGACCAATGCAGTTAAAATTGCAATTTAAAACTTAAAAACTTACGGTTTTACGCTACTAGGTCACCAAAACGCTTTCGTTTCCATATAAAAACTTTAGTGTACAAAATCAGACTAAATTGCGTTTTAAAGCTTAAAAGCTTACGCTTTTACGCTTCTAGTTCACCAAAACGCTTTACGCTTTTACGCTTCTAATTCACTAAATGGGTATTATTTTCATGACATTAATTATAAAAAGTATATTTTAATGGTAATACCAACAATATGATACATTTGAGATTAAAAGATACATAACAGGTACTTGGACGCATTCTCAGCTTCAATAAAGTAATCTAATTCACCAGCTACAGCTAGGCTCTTCCCAAATTCATTAGCATAGAGGGGAAGGTGGCTTATTGTTAAGATTTATGTTTATGAACTTATTATTAAGAGGCTATTAGCTTCTACTTTAGGTATGAATTGCAGGTGCTTATTAACTTTTCTAAATTTTGTGCACTCATATTTTACATAGTATATGTCGTACTTAATTTTTTTTAGTTATTTTAGAGCATGCGTAAAAAACTTACGCTTTTACGCTTTAATTCTATGCTTTACGATTATACCTTTTTTGTTTCTCGGTAGAATCGTGCTTTTAACTGCATTGGCCGCGACCATGGGTTTGATTGTCATCCCTGTGTCTAGCACTCTATTGGAGTTGAGCCGCCCACACAACCATTCACCCGACCCGACCCGGCCCGGCCTATTGGTTTTGGGGAACGGTCCGCTCAGTTGACTATTGCGGCAACCGGATCATCCAATGGCTAATAATATGATATCCACGGATTTGACGATGGAAGCCGTTGATCTATGCCACCGCAGCTTCTCCTCACAATCTCATATTATAAATACCCAAAATGGGAGTCGAGTCGAGTCCACTTCCTCGCTCGCTCGCTCCACCACCTCCATTCACGACTTGACTTCTTCTTCCCCCCGTCCTCCTTCAGTCCCTTCCTCTCTCAACCCGCTCTCTCTTTGTCACCTCTAATCAGATGGCCACTCAGGGCCAGGTTATCACCTGCAAAGGTATCTCTCCCTCTCTCTATATTATTCAATACTGTTCCTCGTCACCGTTCAATTGCATTTTACTGGCGATTTCGCAATCCTGATCCATTTGGGGTTTTGGGATGATATGCGATTGTGACGCGAAGCTGCGGTGGCGTGGGAGCCTAACAAGCCGCTGGTGATCGAGGACGTCCAGGTTGCCCCGCCGCAGGCCGGTGAGGTCCGCATCAAGATTCTCTTCACTGCTCTCTGTCACACTGATGCCTACACTTGGAGCGGCAAGGTACTTCGCATAGTTGTTCTTCACCCACTGCCTCGTTCATTGTTTCAATTAGATATATATTTCGACCTTCAGTTTGATTTTGGTGGATGTTGTTAAGTTTGATGGTATCTTTCTTGTTTGTGTTCGTGATTGGATTCCACTGGTTTACATTATTACATTTTGTGCTGTGATTATGGGAATGCCAAGGTAAGCGGCGGCTATATCACTACCATGTGGATGGCCTACAATTGAGTGGCCCTCGTTGTTTTGGTCTTTGTTCAGATAGCTTCCATGTAAATCAGGTTTATGCTTCTGTTTTCTTTTGCTTTAGCTCCAATGTGGCTAAGGATGATCATCATTGATGTTAAAGAGAGAAATTTGGACAGACGGATGTAATGTTTTTTTTTTTGCACCTGCTAGCTATCATGCATTTTATAATTACAGTGAACCTCCGGTTGCACTGTTCCAATGTCTCATCTGCTGTGTGCAAGATTACAATTTATGGTTGCTGCGGTTGACATGATTCTCAACCACCTTCTATTGTAGGATCCTGAAGGCCTCTTCCCTTGCATTCTTGGTCACGAGGCTGCTGGGTATGGATGCCTTATACCTACTCTGATTTTGATGGTTCCCCCTCTCAGTTGGGTGAAATAGTTCTATGCCTAATTGTTTTTTTTTTTTGGACATAGGATTGTGGAGAGTGTTGGGGAAGGTGTAACTGAGGTGCAACCAGGTGATCATGTCATTCCTTGTTACCAAGCTGAGTGCAAAGAGTGCAAATTTTGCAAGTCAGGAAAGACAAATCTATGTGGCAAGGTCCGCTCTGCTACTGGTGTTGGGGTTATGATGAATGATCGCAAAAGCCGTTTCTCGGTTAATGGGAAACCCATATACCATTTCATGGGGACTTCTACATTCAGCCAATATACTGTTGTGCATGATGTGAGTGTTGCGAAGATCGACCCAGCAGCTCCACTCAACAAAGTATGCCTTCTTGGCTGTGGTGTTCCCACTGGTAAGGATTGCATCCAATCTTAATGGGAAATCTGCATCAACCATGACTCTCCTGGAAATCCTATATTACTTGTTATTGGCCTCCCATTTGTTCCCACTGCAGTCCAGGCTCATTATTAGCGATTAAAATGAAAGACGCTTGAACAAAGGCACTTGAACCCTTTGAGCTTCATATCTTACCTTCGGTGTGCATTGATCTAATACAATATATTTCTGAACAAGAGAATCTGTTTTAATTTGAGATTCACACAATCTATGAGAGTTGAGCCACTCCTATACTTCCTGATTATTTTCCACGGGGGCTATTCTTGCTTCTGTATGCATATTTATGGACAGGAAATGCAGGATGATTGTTTGTAGAAATGTTTTATGCAATATCAGTTGGTGACTAATTGAGTGTTCGTCCTTCAGGTCTTGGAGCTGTTTGGAACACAGCTAAGGTAGAAGCCGGGTCAATTGTTGCTATTTTTGGCCTCGGTACTGTTGGCCTTGCAGTAAGTTCTCAATACACTCACTCTCTCTATTCAATATAGCCAATCTCTGTCAATGAATGCAAAATTCTGTGCAGAAATCACGTCCTAATTGCTTTCTAATTAAGTCGAATTATTGTACAGGTTGCAGAGGGTGCAAAAGCAGCTGGTGCTTCTCGCATAATTGGCATAGATATTGATCCTAAAAAGTTTGATACAGGTAGTATCTCATTCTCGTTATCTACGAATATAACATTTGTTGTCTATTGGTCAAATGGAAATAGCGTTTATTTATTCTGTTGCTACCTTTCTTTAGTACTTACTGTTGCATATGTTGGATATCATTTGATCAGCACTGACAATGCATAGGTGTTAGTTTCTTTTGCATATGTGCGTGTGTGTTCTCCAGTTCTATGATATAGTGGTTTCTGAGCGCTGCTCTTTCGGGAACAGAAGTTGCAACTTGTTTTCTTTGAGCCTGACATTTCTCTACGAATTTTAGTAATGAGAAACTCTTACCCTATAATTCCCTCACATATGGATTTATCTATTATGTACCAAGCAGCTTAGCCCAGTATTTTCATGCTATTATAAAATTTCATGGTTTTGCGCCTCACACGCAAACTGGAATTTGGAACTGGGCTTACATAACAGTTATGAATGTATTATGCTACCTCTTTCTGAAGTTTCTGCATGTCTGTTGGTCTGAGGTGCGGAGTCTATATTATGGAATTGGAGAAACCTTTCATGCTAGGCCGCTGAATATTGCACCTGACGGGGTTGATTGCATTGTGCAGCAAAGAATTTTGGGGTTACAGAATTTGTGAATCCCAAGGACCACGAGAAGCCAATTCAGCAGGTCCTTGTTGATCTTACTGATGGTGGTGTGGATTATAGTTTTGAGTGCATTGGCAATGTTTCTGTAATGAGGGCTGCTTTAGAGTGCTGTCACAAGGTAAGCAACACCGGATATATAAAAGAATGTGATGTGTCTTGTGGTAACGTTATACTATGAGTAGCGGTAGGACATAGGAGTGATGCGGGCCATATGTGACGGGGATGAGAAATTTCAGGGCTGGGGAACTTCTGTCATAGTGGGCGTGGCTGCTTCAGGCCAAGAGATATCAACTCGTCCTTTCCAGTTAGTGACAGGCCGGGTCTGGAAGGGAACAGCTTTTGGTGGTTTCAAGAGCCGTTCACAAGTGCCTTGGCTTGTGGAAAAATACTTGAAAAAGGTGAAGCAAGTTAAAATAGTCCTAGCTTTATATTATGTACATGGTAATATTCAATAGGTATCTAAGTTTTTTTTTTTAACTGGGGAATGCTGCTGTTCTTGTACTTCAGGAAATCAAGGTGGATGAGTACATCACACATAATTTGACTTTGGCGGAGATCAACAGAGCATTTGATCTGATGCATGAAGGAGGCTGTCTTCGGTGTGTGCTGGACTGCCAAGTCTAGGGATTGATTTACTAGGGTGGGAGGGGATGACAGCCATTGTGAGGACATGCCGATGGATTTTTTATTTTAAAGTATCAAACATGACATGTTGAGACCATGAACCCGGACTAGAGCAGGTTCCTCTGGCGAAAATGACGTCTCAGATAAAAAGGCCATGTCCAAAGATTTCTGATACTTTGTTGGTTTTGCTCCGGTTGATAATTACTTGCTAGTGGCGATCCCGCCCTGCTGTGCTATCTCAAGTTCGTCGGTGTATATCACTGATGTCGGCTTACCGAGCGGTATGACTCGATCAGATGTTCATGCCAGTTTAATGTGAGAAAGCTTGAAGGAAGATGGAGCAACTCAAATTCGAGGTCCATTTACAAGGAAGTTCCAATCTCAAACTCAAGCTTATTTGGCGAGATACTTGGCTGACGAGCCTAAATGTGTGTCCAAATTTGAGTCACACCCTTTAAAGACATTTGTAGATCAGACATGCTCAAAAGGGATGGACAAATTTGACGAGAACAACTAAGGACTTTCTGGTGCCCAAGAAAGAGATTCTTGATGCCCAAGTCGTCCATAATTGTTGTCCAAGTCATCCAAACGCCCAAAGGGAGAAGGAAAGAGATAAATTAGTTGCTAAAAAGTTTCCTTTAGCATTGAAAATGACTTGTATTCATTATTTAAGTAGTAGCTTGTTTCCTACTTAGTATTAAACTTGTTTTCCTAGTCCTAAGTACATTAATTTTAGGTTTTTGTGACCTCTATGAATAGAGAACGTAAGACCTACGGGTTACAACAATTTACACACAACTTTGAATAGAATAAGCTTTTGCTTTTTATTCGTTTTTGGGATTTGAAACTTCCCTTTCTTATGTGTGTGGATTTTCATTAGAGCTAAAAGTCCCGGTGTCAATGGGTTCATCATCCCTATCATGGTCCACATCCTTTGATCAATTGCTTTCATTGAATTAAATTATCGATTTGGTTGCGTTTGGTTTTGTTTCCCATCATATTGTGTTTTCCAATTTCTACCGATTGTGTTGCGTACTTTGATTGTTGATTTTAAGACTCATTTTTGGTTTAGGATCATATAGTTGGTATCAGAGCATCATTTCAAAGCAGAGGAATACATATCCCTACCTTCTTGTGCGATCATCTTGTTGCAAAGTGTTCTTCAAATTCGTTAAAGATATTTTAAATTTTCAATCTTGTTATTCGAATTTCAAATTTCTATTACTTCTAAAGTTGATTTGGTTGGAAAAAGCCATTCTATAGTATATAAAAAATAAAATCGAAGGAGTCAAAAGATTACGATTCGCAAAAGTCAAAGAACACAAGCCAAATCAGTCATTCCTTGTCTTAAGCAAATCGTTTTCAAGATTGAGTTTTGATGCTTGCATCTATTGCTTTGAATTGAGCCTTTAGCGTTCATTTCTTGTATATTTAATTGCAGTTGCCATTGAATTTTTTCGAAATTCTTAGTTTAAAGAGCTGCAGCTCTAGGTTAGAATAGCCTTTGTTTCCAAAAACGTTTTAAACATTGTTTCTAGCCTATCCAGCTGAATCTACTTGCATTTGAAGGTTTTCATTCATTCAAAGTTGATTGAGTGCCAGAGAAGAGGCTTTGTGAGTTCAATAGAGGGTAAAAGCCATTAATTTTGAGTGCAAACATGAGTGGTAAAAAAAGAGCGACATCTATTAAGTGAAAACACTTAAGTGCTTGTGAGGTCATTTACATATCATTTGAAACTTGGAATTGACGAAATAACCTTGTCTACGAGTTTTTGTGGCGGAGTTGATTATCATGGCTGGTGAAGGTAATCCATCGATGGGAAAATTGAGTGACAACGCTCTTGATGTTCTCATGGATCAATTCTCTCAATTTTGGCAAGCTGATCAATCCAACATCAATGCACGTCTGCCCGTGGTGGAACGAAATCCAGAAAAAGTGCTAAACGAGAGCAAGAGAGGGCGGAGCAAGAAAGAGTTAAAAGAGAATGTATTGAGCAAACTCGAAAAGAACAAGAAAGACTTCTTCGAGAAAGAAATCATCAACATCATCCTCATTTTGGTGGAAGAATGCTACGAAGAAATGTCATTTCTCATCAACATCGAGAAGAATAAGAGAGGTTCCATGACGAATATGAAGAAGAAGGAGAACAACCTAGTAAATCACCACATAATAGTTGAAACTTGTCCGAGTTACATTTCAGACCAGACACCTTATAGAACATATCTAGAACCCGACAAACACCAGCAACTCCACGAATAGAACCATTTGTAAATACAAGCAAATCATCAGCAAAACACAGGTGTGTAATTGGTAACGGTTGACACTTGGGATGAAAGGGAATCTGGTTCTGTCTGGCTGCCATTTTCAACATTGCATCAAGTATCTCCATTGAAACCGTAAAAAGGTAGGGGGACAATGGGTCCCCTTGCCTAAGACCGCGTTTCATATAAAAAAAAACCCACAGATACCTCCATTTAAGCCTACACTGATCTTAGGACCACAATGGGTCCCCTTGCCTAATCCACTTAAGAAATAGATTAGGGAACCCCATCATCGTAAGAATAGAGAGAAGGAAAGGCCAATCCACAGAATTGAAGACCTTCATAATATCAATCTTAATAGCACAACTGGGAGTGATATGTTTCCTATGATAATCCTTAACTATTTCTGAAGCCAGCAGAATGTTATCACAAATTGACCGACCTTTGATAAAAGCAGATTGGAATAGGAAGTTAGAGAAGGCAAGACAGCTGCTAACCTGTTAGCCATAATCTTTGAAATCCCTTTGTAGATAGTGTTGCAACATGAAATGGGACGAAAGTCCTTCATTTGCTCAACATTTGGGATTTTAGCCACTAAAGTGAAGAGAGTGGAGTTAATAATGCGAGGCATAATACCAGATTGATAGAACTCCAAAGCCACCTCTTCAACCAAACCACCTATTAGACCCCAAATAAGTGAATAAAACTCTGATGGGAAACCGTCTGGACCTGGGGCCTTATCCCTTCCAGTGACTGGGGCAACCAAAGAAAGAGCCTCCTCTAGTGAAAGCTTCTTGAGCAAAAGTTGCTCATAAAAGCTAGAAGGTTTGATAATAACATCGTGGTTTACCTCTCTAATCAACTTCTTGTAGAAATCCACCGCAACTTGTCCCATTTCCTTGATATTAGTCACCTCATGTCCTTGGGAATTGAGCAATCTTGTAATCTGCTGGCGATGAGTATTGACTTTCACAGAGCGATGAAAGAAAGATGTATTCAAATCCCCCTCTTGAACCCCCTGTACTCGATCTTTTTTCTTATAAAACCTTTCCTCAGCCTTCTGCAATTCTTGACATTTAGCAGCAAGTATTCTTTCTTCCTCCACATAACATTACTTTCATCAGGCGCAGTAAGAAGAATAGTTTGCAACATCTCTAATTGAGTCTCACAGGCTCGAGTTTGCACAGATATATCCGAATAAACTTCCCTGTTAAGCTTCTTCAACTTCAATTTTACACTTCGAAGTTTACCATAAAACACAAAATAGGAATAACCCTTCACATCAGTACTCCAAGCTTCTGTAACTAGGTCATAACTTAAAATTATACTCAAGTTACTGTAGGATGTCCCTTTAAATTTTAGGGTTAATATATTTGTATAGCCTGAACTTTGCATATAATAAACATCCTGCCCAATCTTTTCGATCTATAACATCCTAGCCCAAACTATACATCAAAATAACGAAATTGGCCAAATCCGACATTTGACTGCTATCTTGGACGGTCAAACGCGTTGACTAACGATCAACGCGCCACGTCACTGCCAAATCAGCACCTTTCATTTAGATTTTTTTTTATATATTTTCCACCTATTACCATTTTTCTTTTTCATTTTGAAAAAAAAAAGTAATTTCATTTTTGGGTCCCAAGCTAAACCCTACCTTATCCAGACCTACTTAACCCCAACCTCAGGAAAAAACCCGCGGCCCCTCACTTTCTCCTTCATCGACGTCGATCTTCTTCCCTCGTCCGACGAAAATGCAACGGCGGGTTCGACATGATACAATAGGCTGATAGATCAAGGCTAAAGGAGAAGATGCGACAATAATGACTTAGGACTTGAGAGTAAGGGATCACTATGGAGGGAAGAATTCCCAGAATACAGCAAAAATTATACATAATTCCCTGAATACATAAGTTTTATAAAATTTTCCCAAACTACCCAAGTTTCAAAGGGTTTGAGTTTATGGGACTCGAACTACTCACCAGTTCGACGATAAGAAACTCGAACTAAAAGCGGATCGACTTTTAAACACTCGATCAACAGTGGTTCGACTTTGGAAGACTCGAACAACTAAGATCGATCACAAGGGACTCGATCTCAGTAGATCGAGTATGGAAAACTCGATCAAGTAAGATCGACATCTAAAACCTCGATGTAGTGCAACGACTTTAACGCACTCGATCTTAGACTGGACTAGATCGAGGCCTTAAGACTCGAACTACTGGCCCACAGACATACTTCAGGATAGGGTTGCAGGGATAAGATTTTTGTTGTCATAGATCGAGTTTTAGGGACTCGAACTAGTGTAGTTTGATTACACTAAACTCGAACTACTTGCTCAATCATTCTGTCCAGTCGCTTTCTATCCGACATGCGCCAGAATAGGGCGCATGGGGGGGGGGGGGGGGAAATATTGGTGGACATAGATCGAGTTTAATGAACTCGAACTAGTGTAGTTCGAGTGTATTGGAATCGAACCACTCCATCAGTTTACGATAGATAAAAGCCATCACTTAGCACTTTCTGGCAGCACTCTTCCTTTCTATCTTCTTTCTTCCAAACACAAACTGTAGCTGCTGGAGCACCATAGCTGAGCAAAGAAGAAAAATTTTGGAGGTAAGTTCTGCTTACTTTGTTTGAATGAGCATATTAGAATTTTAGATTAATTTAGTATTGTTTGTACTGTATGTAATGAGCTGCTTGTATAAACTGCAGAAATGGGTAGAAAATTTCGAAAATTCGACTTAAAGATTCGGTGGAATGGTCGAATTACACACTTTCATGATAGTATTGACTACGAAGATGGTGAATCAAGTATTGTCCGGATTGAGAGCATATTTACTTGGCAAGAACTTAGTCATATTTGTGCTGAACGATGTTGCATAGCAGGGCGAAGAGTATGCAAGATGACTTACCGTATGCCGGTTTACAAGGATTATGCACTTGTATATGAAGGATCAGTTTTGTTTGACGATGATGACATTAATATGATGGTGAGATTTATTGCAGAGAACAGATTTCCAAGTGCTGAGGTGTATGTCGAAACAGAAGTTTTTGGCCAATATGGTGGCGGCGGTTATACCGAACACGGTGAAGGATCGGGAGGGTTTTCCGGTTCAGGAGATTTCAGAGTGCGGCATGATGCACATGGCCAACATACGAGGATCGAACTGCAACTGGTCCATTGGTGGAACATGACGGACAAGAGTGGCCAGTATGGGGTGAAGAATGGGATTACATAAGGGCACCCAGACAGTCACCCAGACAAGCATCTACACCAGCATCTGGCATCAACAATGATCCATATGTGGATAAACCAAGTCCTCCGTACACTAGCGAGGCAAGCGACATGGAAGATGAAGAGTTAGAATCAATGAGTAGTTCAGATGGTGAAGATCTGGAAGTTGATGAGGGGGAATTTGAGCTCCCCACACCTCACTACACGATGGTGCCACAACATCCTCTCTATGCTCACAACGACGATCCTGACCTCCCTCCTATACCAATATGGACTCCTGACTCTGGATTCGTGGTTGGCCAAACATTTGGAGGAAAGCCTCAGGTGGTCGATGCATTGAAAGAAACTGCTATGCGAAGAAGCTTTCAATATCGTGTCATCACTTCTGACACTAAACAAATTCATGTTCGTTGCGAGAACCATGGCGACGGATGCATGTGGCATGTTCGGGCGGCATATGTTAAAAGAAATGGGGCTTGGCTCATTCGTAAGACAGACAACAACCACACTTGTAGGTCGTCACTGATTTCTCTAGATCACCGACAATTGAGTGCAAGGAAGGTTGCACAAACAATCAAACATCTGATTGAGGCACAACCTGGGATCACCGTGAAGAGTGTCATCGCTGAAGTGAAGAATCGACATGGCTATACCATCAGTTACAAGAAAGCATGGCATGGGAAGCAAAAAGCTATGGCAGAGGTGTATGGTGATTGGGAAGAGTCATTTGCTAACATGCCTCGTTTGATTCTTGCAATGGAGGACAAGAATCCTGGGTCTGTTTTTGTGCCTAGTTACGAAGATTTCTATGGGGGTGCTTGATGACTCGGTATTTGCACATGTTTTCCCCTTTGTTTCTTGATTGTTTGAGCTTGAATTATTGCGTCTTTGGCCTATTTTATGCTAGGCTGTATTCCTTTGTCCCATTTCAGGTCCTAGCACATAAAGTGAAGCATAGGCGCAAGTTTCAAGTCAATCAGAGATCAATTGACGATTCGAGAGAAGAAACTCGGGCATGACCTGAAGAAGAATGGATTTCTACCTCACTTTATGGACAAAGAATCATGCAAGCTTGTTATGAAACGAAAGAGGACGAGACTACGAGCGTCTGGGATCAAACGGCGATTGATTCGGAGTCCGGACGAGGGAGAAACGAAGCATTAAACAGAGGCTGAGCAAGCTGCACGGGCAGACCAGGGAGGCTGCACGGCCGTGCACGTGAGCAATATGGCCGTGCGCCTTATGCCGAGGACACGCACGGGCAACCTCTGAAGCTCGCACGGCCGTGCACCCCGGCCGTGCGAGAGGGCTGAAGTTCGACTAAATGACACGCTGCGTTTTGAGTTGCACGGCCAGAATGGTGATATGCACGGCCGTGCACCCTGGCCGTGCGAGTCGGGATTTCCTGGTTTTAAGCCAAATTCCGAACCAAAGAAGAGGGGAGCTGGGTTTTTGGATCCCAAACACCCAAGGGACGAACCAAAGAGAGAGAGGGCGATTTGAGGGCATTCTTGGAGTAGAGAAGGAGGATTTCTTCGCCTTGGAAGCTTGAGGAACAAGCCCGGACTTGAAGACTGATCATCTGAAGATTCTTACTGCAGTCTCTCTCTTCTCTATGGAGTAACTTCCCTTCACTTAGGTTTTGAGGAACCCTAGCTATGTTTGTTTGATTGGATGATTGTATGAGTACTCTGACTGGATAATCTTGAGTTCATATTCAATCTATGCATGTTTTCATGATTCAATTCTGCTTTAGTCGAGATTATTGATTCTGCTTTGATTCTATGAGAGGGAATACCTGATTAGGTCAATAGAGCACCATAGATTGATAGTAGTGGATCGATTGCTTTAGTCGAGGGTTGATTCACTGCTTTGTATCGATTGAGAACCCCTTTCGATAGAGGGAGTCTAGTTCAGAACGCCTTGATCAGTTGTTCTAGAGAAGGATACGTCCCTCTAGGCAATTGACTCAAGAGGGCCTTGTTCCTTTAGTCGAGACTCAAGGTCTAGTCAAGGATTCTCCGCATTGTGAATGAAAGTGAAACAGGTTAGAGATCATCAATCATTAATCTGGCTAGTGGCTAGGGGGAATCATACCTAAGTGAGTTCCCAACCTGTAATTAGATTAACTTTAACTGTAGTTTGCTAGAGTAGTTTTAGTTCTTTCGTCTTAATCTGATTTGCTAAATAATAAACTGAAGCTGAGTAATAGTAACTCTAGAGACCCGTGGATTCGATATTTATCACTTGAGCCACTATACTGCAGTCCCTTTCATTGGTTACACTTGGCCTTTGTTAGGTGTTGTGTTTTAGAGCATCAAGTTTTTGGCGCCGTTGCCGGGGACTTTCTAGAGTATTAGGAAAGGCAGAAGTTTGTTACTTTAGCGTTTTTATTTTCTTTTCTTTTCCACCCTTGCTTTTCACTTGGGTGTTTTTGTTTTTGTTGGTGCAGATCTGAATCATGGATCCTAATGGCTTCTCCAATCATTGGGGGTATCCACCACCATCTGGGTGGTGTTACCCCGAGACTCCGTGGAGCAATCAAGGCGGAGAAGACTATGGATTCGGGTTCCAGTACCAACCCCCTTACTACGGAGAACAACCGGACCCCTGGGCATATCAAGAACAACCTCATTATCAAGAAGAATTTCTCCCACAACCAGAAGGGCCATCGGCACTGGAGTTACTCATGGAGCAGTATGCTCGAGACTGTGAGAGAACATGCTCCAGGATGGATCAGTGTGTCTAGGCCTATCGTGAAACAGATGAGATCCTCCTGAGCCTTAAGAAGAGCGTCGATGATCTTGAGCGATCTTGGGCGCAACCTGCTCCAGATCACCCTTCTGCTACCCTACAAGAAGAGGAGGAGGAAGAAGAAGGCTACAAGGGCATTGTGGAACACACTGAAGTTGTCACGGAGAGCTCCCGTGATGATCATGATCAGGCGTGTCATGTCGTAGCCGACCACACCTTCCCACACCCCAAACTGAGCTTTGAAGAGGCGGGCATGAGTGAGGAGATGCAAGAAGATCTCATGAAAGAAATTGCTTGGCAACTTGCTCTCCAATCCGTGCTTGAAGAAGAAGAGCAAGAAAGGGTGCAGAAAGAAGTTGTGGAGGATGACGAAAGTGAAGCTGGAGGAGTTCTTGATCATTTCCCAGGGGTGATACCACATGAAGAAGGAAGGGAGGTTGAAGAGGCGATTGGTGTCCAGGCTGAGGACGAAGTTGAGGTGGAAGAGGCTTGCACTGGCCCTATGTTACATTTGATATCTCCACCAAACTTCGAGGAGTTGCTTGGCAAGGACCCATTTGTAGTGTCTCTTTGCCAGACCAAGGCCACCTCGACATCGGTCCCTCTTGGTGGACGCGATGGTGGCCAATCGATGTTGTCATATCTGGTTTGGGGCAATGAGACGAGAGAAGAGAAGAAGAGGTCTCGAGGGTGGAGACTTCATCTGCATCAAGTACATGAGCCTTCATCACCTGCCACACCACATGCTCGTGACTTGAGACTCCACCTCATCGACGAGAACCTCAACTTCAAGGAGGTTCTAGCATGGACCGAAACTTAGGAGCCATCGTCCGGCTCATGACGTGAAAGAAGCGCTTGTTGGGAGGCAACCCAACCAGTCGGTTTGCATTTCTTTCTCTTTTTCTCCTCGGTTGAGTCAGTTTTTTTTTATATTTGATTTTAGAGTAAATAACTCAACCTTTGTGAGATTTTGTGTGGTGTTTGTGTTCTGATTACTCTCTCTTTCTGGATGGCACTGCCTGACCCGTACATCATCATTCACCCTTGATATGGTAACTTCGTTCTACCCTCCTTATCTTTCCTCCATTGAGGACAATGTCGTGCTTAAGTGTGGGGGGGATGTTCGATTATGTATGCGGGTGAATGTTTGGCTGTTTGTGTGCTTGGAGCCTAGTCCACTGTCCAAATTTTTAAATTTGAGGGCTCCAAGTACGTGTTTCCTTGCAATTGCCTGCTCAGTATGCTTTGAATTGACAGTCTTTACAGTAATATGCAACCTAGGGAGGTAGTGTAGCACTATGGAGGATGTTGATGCATTTAAGAAGTCTCATTTCTTCTTCATATAAAGTTGGTTGATTGAGTGAATTAGTGATCTTAGGACCCTTGAATTGTGTGGTGTTGTGGATTCTCTGCTTGTCAAGGACTCTTGTATCATGTTTTGAGAATAACAGGTGCTCGAAAATGTGCTTCAAAATAAACGTCTCCCGTGCGAATAGGGCGAAAGTGTGTAAGGGGAGACGGGAATTCGTTCCCAATTTCCACCTACTACCTCCAGCCCCCTTACATGTCTTTCCCCCGCACGAGGCTCGAGACATCCGCTCCTGGCATGGCCGGTAAGAGCAGGTTGGGACCCTTGAAAAAGAAAAGAAAAGAAAAATATCAGAAAACAAGCAAAACAGGAAAAAAAAAAAGGGGTCTCAACCATCTTCAAGAAGAAAATAGAGCACCTTGAAAAATGTGAGTCCATGATCCTTTGTTTTTGAGAATCTCTTCATCCACAATCCATTTGTCCTCTGTTCACTATTTGCCATGATGCCGACTCGCCGAAGAAGTTATGAGATGACTTGTGCGTCGGTTGACCTCGTAAGTTGCTAAATGATCTAGGAAGTCCTCTACCTACGATCTGGGTTGTTTGTTGCTATAGAGGTCTGGAGAGTTGCATTGGTTTGAGTTAGGTTCGCTTGGGGACAAGCAAACAGTTAAGTGTGGGGGGATTTGATGACTCGGTATTTGCACATGTTTTCCCCTTTGTTTCTTGATTGTTTGAGCTTGAATTATTGCGTCTTTGGCCTATTTTATGCTAGGTTGTATTCCTTTGTCCCATTTCAGGTCCTAGCACATAAAGTGAAGCATAGGCGCAAGTTTCAAGTCAATCAGAGATCAATTGACGATTCGAGAGAAGAAACTCGGGCATGACCTGAAGAAGAATGGATTTCTACCTCACTTTATGGACAAAGAATCATGCAAGCTTGTTATGAAACGAAAGAGGACGAGACTACGAGCGTCTGGGATCAAACGGCGATTGATTCGGAGTCCGGACGAGGGAGAAACGAAGCATTAAACAGAGGCTGAGCAAGCTGCACGGGCAAACCAGGGAGGCTGCACGGCCGTGCACGTGAGCAATATGGCCGTGCGCCTTATGCCGAGGACACGCACGGGCAACCTCTGAAGCTCGCACGGCCGTGCACCCTGGCCGTGCGAGAGGGCTGAAGTTCGACTAAATGACACGCTGCGTTTTGAGTTGCACGACCAGAATGGTGATATGCACGGCCGTGCACCCTGGCCGTGCGAGTCGGGATTTCCTGGTTTTAAGCCAAATTCCGAACCAAAGAAGAGGGGAGCTGGGTTTGGATCCCAAACACCCAAGGGACGAACCAAAGAGAGAGAGGGCGATTTGAGGGCATTCTTGGAGTAGAGAAGGAGGATTTCTTCGCCTTGGAAGCTTGAGGAACAAGCCCGGACTTGAAGACTGATCATCTGAAGATTCTTACTGCAGTCTCTCTCTTCTCTATGGAGTAACTTCCCTTCACTTAGGTTTTGAGGAACCCTAGCTATGTTTGTTTGATTGGATGATTGTATGAGTACTCTGACTGGATAATCTTGAGTTCATATTCAATCTATGCATGTTTTCATGATTCAATTCTGCTTTAGTCGAGATTATTGATTCTGCTTTGATTCTATGAGAGGGAATACCTGATTAGGTCAATAGAGCACCATAGATTGATAGTAGTGGATCGATTGCTTTAGTCGAGGGTTGATTCACTGCTTTGTATCGATTGAGAACTCCTTTCGATAGAGGGAGTCTAGTTCAGAACGCCTTGATCAGTTGTTCTAGAGAAGGATACGTCCCTCTAGGCAATTGACTCAAGAGGGCCTTGTTCCTTTAGTCGAGACTCAAGGTCTAGTCAAGGATTCTCCGCATTGTGAATGAAAGTGAAACAGGTTAGAGATCATCAATCATTAATCTGGCTAGTGGCTAGGGGGAATCATACCTAAGTGAGTTCCCAACCTGTAATTAGATTAACTTTAACTGTAGTTTGCTAGAGTAGTTTTAGTTCTTTCGTCTTAATCTGATTTGCTAAATAATAAACTGAAGCTGAGTAATAGTAACTCTAGAGACCCGTGGATTCGATATTTATCACTTGAGCCACTATACTGCAGTCCCTTTCATTGGTTACACTTGGCCTTTGTTAGGTGTTGTGTTTTAGAGCATCAGTGCTAAACGCGTGTTTAAGCGACTATTTTGGGCATTCAAATCATGCATTGATGGTTTCACCCATTGTCTGCCAATAATCCAAGTTGATGGGACCTTTCTGACCGGCAAATACAAGGGCACTCTACTCGTTGCCACTAGTGTTGATGGCAGTATGCAACTTTTCCCCCTTGCTTTTGCTATTGTCGAATCGTAGAACAACTTAAGTTGGGCATGGTTTTTTTCCCAACTATACACTCGTGTCACTCAACGGAAGGACATTGCCATACTTTCTGATCGACACCATGGAATTGCACATGCTTTCTACGACCTGCCCGAGGAGCTAGGGTGGAAGTGGCGCTGGTGCATACGACATTTCAAAAGCAATTACGGGAAGCACTTTGGTAGAACTTATGGACAACGTGCAGTTTGGCACGCTGGTAAGAACAAATAAGATGTTGTGATTATATCAATTGGTTGAATGCGTATACTCCTTTACTAACCTTATATTGCTTTATTGTAGCTATTGCTTTTCAGACTAGAAAGTTTGTAGACAAAATGAAGAGCATAAGGGAAGTCCACTCTGAAGGTGCAGATTGGCTAGAAACTCATCCTTATGAGAGGTGGACGTTACATCAAGACGAAGGGAGAGGAATCAGTTGCTTGGTTGGCCAATCACTTATTGTACCCCGCAGATCCTTGCTGTACTTGTGGAGTGACTTATGTACGTCCGGTGGTGGGAGAGGAATCGGTTGCGCCCAATTATATTGTCGGACACATCTATCCGGGAGGTGCCACTCGGCAATGTTGTGGAAAATCACAGGCAACTTGCACGACCAGAGTCTGCGATCCTCAGGGTATCTGATAGACCGTTAATTACACATGATTTTACCCCTGTTCTCACACCGTTTGAGATGTGATTTCTCGTGTTTTAAGCCGATTTCACGCTAGGTTGTGCTTGTTTGTGATATTTCAAGTCCTAGTACGTGAATGGAGGCTTGGGAGCGAGTTTGGGGTCGATTTGACGAAGATCGGGCGCGAGGCAAGTCACAAAGGAGGCCACACGGGCACACCCACAAATCACACGGCCGTGCAACTCATATTTCTGGCCGTGTGAGATTGTGCGAGAGCAAACACGGCCTGCCCTGACAACACACACGGCCGTGTGAAGAAGTGGCTTGGCCGTGTGACTTTCGCCGAGAGCAAACACGGGCAGATGGAAGTCACACACGGCCGTGCGACCCTGGCCGTGTGAGAAGCCTGAAAATCGAACTAAGTGGAACGCAATGTTTTGACTCACACGGGCAACTGGGTATGCCACACGGCCGTGTGGCCCTGCCTGTGTGAGTCGGGATTTCCTGGTTTTAACCTAATTCTGGGCTGCAAGAGAGAGAATCGGACTTTTTGAGCAAAAACAGAGCCCTAGAGAGAGAAAGGACAAAGAACACATCCTAGAAGCCATCTTGGCGCTGGGTTTCATCAAATCAAGCTTGGAGATCGTCATAGGAGTGGAAATCATCATCCCAGAGCAGATTCTTCCCATCAGTATGAGTATGACTGCTTTGTATCTTGTTTTTCTCTCTCTCTCTCTCTATGGAGTAGAACCCCTCTCTCACTTGGGGATGAAGAACCCTAGTTCTATGTGTTAGGGATTGATTGTAATGACTTGGGATGATATTACTGTTTGATTTTAATCGAATGATGCATGTTTATTGAGTCAATTGAAGTCTGATCAACTTTTCCTGATTCCTGCTGCAATCTGAGATAGATAGAATCTGATTAGGTTGTTAGAGTCTCATCATTCGATAGTAGGAGATTGGCTATACGAGAGTTAGCCAGTTTACTGCTTTGTACTGGAATCCAATTCCAGTAGTGGAGTTCTGTTCTTACTGCTTCAGCTTTCTATCCCGGTGAAGACTAGTCGTCTGCCGGGTAGTTAGACTGAGAGGGCTTGGTCAGCTTAAGAGATTCCAAGCTACTGTCGGATCTTCCGCAGTCTAATCAACAGTAAATCAACCCAGGGAAATACAATTGAAACCTAACTAAGGAGCTAGGGGGATTCATTCCCGAGTGACTCTTACCTGCTTGAGAAAACCGAATAATTTCCTGCTTTCTTTCTGCTTTTGCTTTTAAACAACAATCACATACTTTAGTTGGCTAGATAATAGAGAATCACTGAGTAAGCAGTAGACCTAGACCCCGGGTTGATAATATAACTTGCCTGTTACTGCATTCCCGGTCTGCGATTACACTTGGTCGCAGATTGGTGTTGTGTTTTACCGTGTCAAGTTTTTGCCGCCGTTGCCGGGGAACCTCTAGGTTATTGGGGAAACGTGAGAATTTGTTACTCTAGCTTTTTCTTTATTGCATTTTATCTCTTCCACCTGTGTGCCTTCACGGGTTGCTTCTGCTGATTGTGTGCAGGTAGTGCATGACCCGTAGCCAGTCGGGAGATCTACTACCACTAGACCAGGAGCTTGAACGAACCTGCAGAAACTTCAAGCGGGCTCTAAAGGCGCGACTGGCTGCGGAGGAGGCGCTAGCACAGCTACAGATCACTGAAGAAGAGGAGATGGCTGATCCACAGGGCCATGCTGTGGTCGATCCCGAGGAGCAGACCATGGGATCCTACTGGATTGCTAGAGCTGCGGACATGAGGTCACCCATTCAGCATCCTCATGTCCCAGCCAACAATTTTGAGGTGAGCACCTCAGTAATCACCATGCTGCGCGGTTCAGTGGTGTTCCGTGGTGAAGAGGGGGAGTGCCCTCGTTCACATCTCAGGCGATTCCACGATCTCATCGATGGAATCAAGATCAATGGGGTCCCAGCAGATGCCATCCAGCTGAGGTACTTCCCATTCACCTTGGAGGGGCAGGCCAAGGAGTGGCTAGACACTCGACCTCCGGGATCCATCACCACGTTCGCCAACCTGGCGGACAAGTTCCTTACCCGCTACCATCCTCCGTCCAAGACGGCGGACTTGCAGAAGCAGATTACCCACTTCACCCAGGATGAAGATGAGACCATCCGGGACGCCTGGGAGAGATACAACAGCCTCTTCCTGAGGTGTCCCAATCATGGTTTCAACGATGCTTTCAAGGTAGGAACCTTCTATCACGCCCTCTTCCCGGAGGACAAGCAGCTGATTGATTCGGTTTGTGGCGGGAACATGCTGACCAAAACACCACCACAGCTGAGTCAACTCTTTGAGGAGATGGCGGAGAATGGGTATGATTGGGGCACTGCCAGGAGATCGAGACGAGCACCAGGACGGGGTGTGCATGCTGTAGGCACCCAGTCATCTGATTTGGTGCAGGTGGTATCGAAGCTGGTGTCAGCTATCGATCGTTCTGGTTTGATTGCAGGTACAGAACAGCCGCAGGCGATGCTCTGCCAGTGGTGCGAGAGCACCCATCACACTGTTGAAGAGTGCCAAGCGATGAAGGAATCGACAACACCCCAGGAGCAGGTGAACTTCATCAACAATGTTAGGCGCAACGACCCCTACAGCAATACTTACAATGAGGGGTGGCGCCAGCATCCCAACTTCTCCTGGGGTGGGGCAAATTTCAGATCACCAGTCCCCCAGGGACCACCGGGCTTCCAGAGGCCACCATATCAGCCCAGACAGGGGCAATTCCAGCAGCAGCAGTCTCTCTACCAGCCCATGCAGGGGCATGCTGCTCCATCACAGCCGCGACCTTTCCAGCAGCCAGGTGCAGCCCCTGCCGCCCCAGTGCAGAATGATCAGATGGCTGAACTGCGGGAATTGGTGGGTTCTCTCGCCAGTTCTAGTGCTCAAAAATTTAACACCATCGAGCAGTTCATGGAAAAGGCATCGGGTAAATTCCTGGCTCTTGAAGCTGGCCAGAGGAACACACAGGCTGTCTTGCAGGATATCCAGACCCAGCTGGGGAGTGTGGCTCAAGCAGTGGCACAAAGGGCTCCTGGTACCTTGCCCGGTCAGACCATTCCTCACCCTCAGAACCCGAATGAGCACTGCAATGCCATCATGACCAGGAGTGGCAAGATGACTGTTGATCCACCTGCTCGGGAACAAGAGAGAGAGGCCCCTGCCTCGGCATCTCCAGCAGCTGAAGCAGAAGCCGAGAAGGAGGTTGAGGTGTCTTGATGCTCTAAAACACAACACCTAACAATGGCCAAGTGTAACCAATGGAAGGGACTGCAGTATAGTGGCTCAAGTGATAAATATCGAATCCACGGGTCTCTAGAGTTACTATTACTCAGCTTCAGTTTATTATTTAGCAAACCAAATTAAGATGAAAGAACTAAAACTACTCTAGCAAACTACAGTTAAAGTTAATCTAATTACAGGTTGGGAACTCACTTAGGTATGATTCCCCCTAGCCACTAGCCAGATTAATGATTGATGATCTCTAACCTGTTTCACTTTCATTCACAATGCGGAGAATCCTTGACTAGACCTTGAGTCTCGACTAAAGGAACAAGGCCCTCTTGAGTCAATTGCCTAGAGGGACGTATCCTTCTCTAGAACAACTGATCAAGGCGTTCTGAACTAGACTCCCTCTATCGAAAGGGGTTCTCAATCGATACAAAGCAGTGAATCAACCCTCGACTAAAGCAATCGATCCACTACTATCAATCTATGGTGCTCTATTGACCTAATCAGGTATTCCCTCTCATAGGATCAAAGCAGAATCAATAATCTCGACTAAAGCAGAATTGAATCATGAAAACATGCATAGATTGAATATGAACTCAAGATTATCCAGTCAGAGTACTCATACAATCATCCAATCAAACAAACATAGCTAGGGTTCCTCAAAACCTAAGTGAAGGGAAGTTACTCCATAGAGAAGAGAGAGACTGCAGTAAGAATCTTCAGATGATCAGTCTTCAAGTCCGGGCTTGTTCCTCAAGCTTCCAAGGCGAAGAAATCCTCCTTCTCTACTCCAAGAATGCCCTCAAATCGCCCTCTCTCTCTTTGGTTCGTCCCTTGGGTGTTTGGGATCCAAAAACCCAGCTGCCCTCTTCTTTGGTTCGGAATTTGGCTTAAAACCAGGAAATCCCGACTCGCACGGCCAGGGTGCACGGCCGTGCATATCACCATTCTGGCCGTGCAACTCAAAACGCAGCGTGTCATTTAGTCGAACTTAGCCCTCTCGCACGGCCAGGGTGCACGGCCGTGCGAGCTTCAGGGGTTGCCCGTGCGTGTCCTCGGCATAAGGCGCACGGCCATATTGCTCACGTGCACGGCCGTGCAGCCTCCCTGGTCTGCCCGTGCAGCTTGCTCAGCCTCTGTTTAATGCTTCGTTTCTCCCTCGTCCGGACTCCGAATCAGTCGCCGTTTGATCCCAGACGCTCGTAGTCTCGTCCTCTTTCGTTTCATAACAAGCTTGCATGCTTCTTTGTCCATAAAGTGAGGTAGAAATCCATTCTTCTTCAGGTCATGCCCGAGTTTCCTCTCTCGAATCGTCAATTGATCTCTGATTGACTTGAAACTTGCGCCTATGCTTCACTTTATGTGCTAGGACCTGAAATGGGACAAAGGAACACAACCTAGCATTAAATAGGCCACAACACACGAATATGCCCCTCAAACGGATAAGAACTAGGGGCGCAAACATGTGCAATTACATCGTTATCAAACTCCCCCACACTTAACCGTTTGCTTGTCCCCAAACAAACCTAACTCAAACCAATGCAACTCTCCAGACCTCTATAGCAACAAACAACCTAGATCGTAGGTAGAGGACTTCCTAGATCATTTAGCAGCTTACGAGGTCAACCGACGCACAAGTCATCTCATAGCTTCTTCGGTCAGTCGGCATCATGGCAAACAGTGAACAGAGGACAAATGAATTGTGGATGAAGAGATTCTCAAAAACAAAAGATCATGGACTCACATTTTTCAAAGTGCTCGAATTTCTTTGAAGATGGTTGGAACTCCTTTTTTCTGTTTTGCTTGTTTTCTGTTATTTTTCTTTTCTTTTTTTCTTTTCAAGGGTCCCAACCTGCTCTTACCGGCCATGCCAGGAGCGGATGTCTCGAGCCTCGTGCGGGGGAAAGACATGTAAGGGGGCTGGAGGTAGTAGGTGGAAATTGGGAACGGATTCCCGTCTCCCCTTACACACTTTCGCCCTATTCGCACGGGAGACGTTTATTTTGAAGCACATTTTCGAGCACCTGTTATTTTCAAAACATGATACAAGAGTCCATGACAGGTAGAAAATCCACAACACCACACAATTCAAGGGTCCTAAGATCACTAATTCACTCAATCAACCAACTTTATATGAAGAAGAAATGAGACTTCTTAAATGCATCAACATCCTCCATAGTGCTACACTACCTCCCTAGGTTGCATATTACTGTAAAGACTGTCAATTCAAAGCATACTGAGCAGGCAATTGCATGGAACACGTACTTGGAGCCCTCAAATTTAAAAATTTGGACAGTGGACTAGGCTCCAAGCACACAAACAACCAAACATTCACCTGCATACATAATCGAACACCCCCCCACACTTAAGCTCGACATTGTCCTCAATGGAGGAAAGATAAGGAGGGTAGAACGAAGTTACCAGATCAAGGGTGAATGATGATGAACGGGTCAGGCGGTGCATTCCAGAAAGAGAGAGTAATCAGAACACAAACACCACACAAAATCTCACAAAGGTTGAGTTATTGACTCTAAAATCAAATAACAAAACTGACTCAACCGAGGAGAAAAAGAGAAAGAAATGCAAACCGACTGGTTGGGTTGCCTCCCAACAAGCGCTTCTTTCACGTCGTGAGCCGGACGATGGCTCCTAAGTTTCGGTCCATGAGAGAACCTCCTTGAAGTTGAGGTTCTCGTCGATGAGGTGGAGTCTCAAGTCATGAGCATGTGATGTGGCAGGTGATGAAGGCTCATGTACTTGATGCAGATGAAGTCTCCACCCTCGAGACCTCTTCTTCTCTTCTCTCGTCTCATTGCCCCAAACCAGATAAGACAGCATCGATTGGCCACCATCGCGTCCACCAAGAGGGACCGATGTCGATGTGGCCTTGGTCTGGCAAAGAGACACTGCAAATGGGTCCTTGCTAAGCAGTTCCTCGAAGTTTGGTGGAGATATCACATGTAACTCATGGCCGGTGCAAGCCTCTTCCACCTCAACTTCGTCCTCAGCCTGGACACCAATCGCCTCTTCAACCTCCCTTCCTTCTTCATGTGGTATCACCCCTGGGAAATGATCAAGAACTCCTCCAACTTCACTTTCGTCATCCTCCACAACTTCTTTCTGCACCCTTTCTTGCTCTTCTTCTTCTAGCACGGATTGGAGAGCAAGTTGCCAAGCAATTTCTTTCATGAGATCTTCCTGCATCTCCTCACTCATGCCCGCCTCTTCAAAGCTCAGTTTGGGGTGTGGGAAGGTGTGGTCGGCTACGACATGACACGCCTGATCATGATCATCACGGGAGCTCTCCGTGACAACTTCAGTGTGTTCCACAATGCCCTTGTAGCCTTCTTCTTCCTCCTCCTCTTCTTGTATGGTAGCAGAAGGGTGATCTGGAGCAGGTTGCGCCCAAGATCGCTCAAGATCATCGACGCTCTTCTTAAGGCTCAGGAGGATCTCATCTGTTTCACGATAGGCCTGGACACACTGATCCATCCTGGAGCATGTTCTCTCACAGTCTCGAGCAAACTGCTCCATGAGTAACTCCAGCGCCGATGGCCCTTCTGGTTGTGGGAGAAATTCTTCTTGCAAACGAGGTTGTTCTTGATATGCCCAGGGGTCCGGTTGTTCTCCGTAGTAAGGGGGTTGGTACTGGAACCCGAATCCATAGTCTTCTCTGCCTTGATTGCTCCAGGGAGTCTCGGGGTAATACCACCCAGATGGTGGTGGATACCCCCAATGATTGGAGAAGCCATTAGGATCCATGATTCAGATCTGCACCAACAAAAACAAAAACACCCAAGTGAAAAGCAAGGGTGGAAAAGAAAAGAAAAGAAAAACGCTAAAGTAACAAACTTCTGCCTTTCCTAATACTCTAGAAAGTCCCCGGCAACGGCGCCAAAAACTTGACTCGCTAAAACACAACACCTAACAATGGCCAAGTGTAACCAATGGAAGGGACTGCAGTATAGTGGCTCAAGTGATAAATATCGAATCCACGGGTCTCTAGAGTTACTATTACTCAGCTTCAGTTTATTATTTAGCAAACCAAATTAAGATGAAAGAACTAAAACTACTCTAGCAAACTACAGTTAAAGTTAATCTAATTACAGGTTGGGAACTCACTTAGGTATGATTCCCCCTAGCCACTAGCCAGATTAATGATTGATGATCTCTAACCTGTTTCACTTTCATTCACAATGCGGAGAATCCTTGACTAGACCTTGAGTCTCGACTAAAGGAACAAGGCCCTCTTGAGTCAATTGCCTAGAGGGACGTATCCTTCTCTAGAACAACTGATCAAGGCGTTCTGAACTAGACTCCCTCTATCGAAAGGGGTTCTCAATCGATACAAAGCAGTGAATCAACCCTCGACTAAAGCAATCGATCCACTACTATCAATCTATGGTGCTCTATTGACCTAATCAGGTATTCCCTCTCATAGGATCAAAGCAGAATCAATAATCTCGACTAAAGCAGAATTGAATCATGAAAACATGCATAGATTGAATATGAACTCAAGATTATCCAGTCAGAGTACTCATACAATCATCCAATCAAACAAACATAGCTAGGGTTCCTCAAAACCTAAGTGAAGGGAAGTTACTCCATAGAGAAGAGAGAGACTGCAGTAAGAATCTTCAGATGATCAGTCTTCAAGTCCGAGCTTGTTCCTCAAGCTTCCAAGGCGAAGAAATCCTCCTTCTCTACTCCAAGAATGCCCTCAAATCGCCCTCTCTCTCTTTGGTTCATCCCTTGGGTGTTTGGGATCCAAAAACCCAGCTGCCCTCTTCTTTGGTTCGGAATTTGGCTTAAAACCAGGAAATCCCGACTCGCACGGCCAGGGTGCACGGCCGTGCATATCACCATTCTGGCCGTGCAACTCAAAACGCAGCGTGTCATTTAGTCGAACTTAGCCCTCTCGCACGGCCAGGGTGCACGGCCGTGCGAGCTTCAGGGGTTGCCCGTGCGTGTCCTCGGCATAAGGCGCACGGCCATATTGCTCACGTGCACGGCCGTGCAGCCTCCCTGGTCTGCCCGTGCAGCTTGCTCAGCCTCTGTTTAATGCTTCGTTTCTCCCTCGTCCGGACTCCGAATCAGTCGCCGTTTGATCCCAGACGCTTGTAGTCTCGTCCTCTTTCGTTTCATAACAAGCTTGCATGCTTCTTTGTCCATAAAGTGAGGTAGAAATCCATTCTTCTTCAGGTCATGCCCGAGTTTCCTCTCTCGAATCGTCAATTGATCTCTGATTGACTTGAAACTTGCGCCTATGCTTCACTTTATGTGCTAGGACCTGAAATGGGACAAAGGAACACAACCTAGCATAAAATAGGCCACAACACACGAATATGCCCCTCAAACGGATAAGAACTAGGGGCGCAAACATGTGCAATTACATCGTTATCAAGTGTCTGCACCTAAACTGCAACCAGTAGTGAAGGAGTATATCCCTAAACTCCCCTTCCCTACTCGGTTGCACAAAGACAGGCTGGAGGCAGAGTTCGAGAGCTTCATGGCCATGCTTAGGAAGCTGAATGTCCAAGTGCCTTTCCTGGAGGCACTATCTCAAATGCCTAAGTATGCAAAGTTCCTGAAGGATCTTCTCTCAAAGAAGCAGAAGCTGAGCGAGCTGGCCACTGTGGAGCTCAGTGAGGAGTGCTCAGCCATTCTGCAGAACAAGCTTCCGCAGAAACAGAAGGACCCAGGTAGTTTTACTATCCCGTGCTCTATAGAGAATTTGCATGTAGAGAGGTCCTTGGCGGATTTAGGTGCTAGTATAAATGTTATGCCATATAAAATGTTTAAGAAACTAGGCCTAGGTGAACCCCGTGTTACTAGGATGAGCCTTCAATTAGCTGATCGATCTGTAGTGCATCCTAGGGGCATAGTGGAAGACCTTCTGGTTAAGGTTGGCAAATTCAATTATCCTGTTGATTTTGTGATTTTGGACATAAATGAGGATGTGAATGTGCCATTGATACTGGGAAGGCCTTTCCTGGCCACTGCCAAGGCCCTCATAGATGTGCATGATGGGACCTTAGTTTTGAGGGATGGTGTGGAGCGAATAGCGTTTTCAATTTCTAATACTCATCCTGCTTCGTCACCTTTGCATGCTGTATCTCACCAGGAGCACGAGTCTGTCGTGTATCCTCCTGTGTTGCCTATTTTGCAGGATCCGCCTCCCATACCTTCGCCGCCACTCCCGTCCACTCCGTAATCGAAGGAACAAATGAGGGAGGAGTGGCGGCTGAAATAGCAGGCAGCTAAGCCTGCTCGAAAGAAAGCCGGAGACCACTATGAGCTGGTCCCGCCCCCACCTTGGCCATCCGAGTATTCACTCGCTTGCATCCTGCCGGATGGCCAAGTTGAGTTGGCAAATGCCGGTGGCCACATTCGGCGTGTGCATGGCCACCATTTGAAGTTGTACCTCAAGAGCGAGGTGGATCCGCTCTTGAAGGCACCTGCTCCTTCACCTCACTGAGCATCCACCGACTGGCGTCCAGCTAAAAGACGGTAAATAAGCGCTTGTGGGGAGGCAACCCCACCTAGGTTTGCATTTTCTTACCTTTTTCTTTTGATTTTTTGTGTTTTTTGAGTCTTGAGGGGTTGTTCACGAGTTGTATGTCGTTCTGGAGTGAAAACAGGTCATTTTCGGAGTTCTGGCAGCTCACACGGCCAGCCCTGAATGTCACACGGCCGTGTGGAAAATAATTTTGGCCGTGTGAGCTCTCGCAGAATTCCACACGGCCAGATGAGATGCTGGCACGGCCGTGTGGAAAGTTGCCCTGGGCGTGTCTGCTCTCGCATAAATTGGCACGGCCAGACGAGCACTCGGCACGGCCGAGTGCAATTCCTCGGCCAGCCCGTGTCGGCCGACACGGGCAAAGGTGCTCCTGACACGGCCGTGTGGGTCAGGCCGTGTGGCCGAGACACGGCCTATTTATTCGGCCAGCACGGCCGGGTCGTCAGAAAATCCCAATCCACTCGCCGGAAACCTCTCCCCCTCGCCGGAAAACCGCGCCAAAACCCCACTTTTCGATTTTTTCGGCCATTTTTATCATTTTTTCACCAAAACAACAACAAACCCACCCTTCCTACACCAAAAGCGGCCTATCCCTCCATTTTGAGGAGATTTGGCCGACGTTTTTGTCGCCGGAGACGATTTCCGGCGAGCTCCGGCGAGGCTCCGACGAGCACTTCCGGGCATTTTTTCGGTGTTTCGTCGCTTCCATCGCCTTCCCCTCATCATCCCCTACACCTCTACTTGAGTCTCCAGGTTTGATTTTGCCTTTAACTATGTTAATTGTGGAGAATTGGGTGTTAGGGTGCATGTTTAGAGAACCTCATTGAATCTTGTGATTTTTGTGCAATTGATTGAGGGGAATGCATGGAGTGTGTTTGAATTGTGTTGGGCAAAGTCCCTCTTGATTGTTTGAGCCCTTGTGTGCGAGAATTGTGCCAATTTCATGCTTACCTTAATAGTGCACACAAGGTGTTCGATGAAATGCTTGTTTTCGTACCATTTTGTGGGGGTCGGTTGGGGCCCTTAATGATGTGCTTTGAAGGTGTATTTGGTATGAATGTGAGCCTTGAGTTGCCTACTTGTTCATGGATGTGCACCCCACTCAGATTATGCTTGATTTATCGAGTTTCTGACCCCCGAACTATGGATGAAACCATGGTTAGGCTGTTTTCTGTTCTTAAGTGTGGGGGTGTGATTAACATTTTCCTTGGCTGTTTGGTTCCACTTTGGGTTGTTCTTTTGCAGGACCATGTCGAAACCCAACCTCCGGCACCAGTTTGTTCAGGATTTGAGAAGGGGGCCCCACCGGGATCGTTTTCAGAACGTCCTGGCCTGCAAGTTTGGGCAGCATCATTACTGGTCGAAGCGCGAATTGGAGAAGCTCAACTGCTACGAGCACCTCTCCCCCGTTGTCACCAACAAATACTGGCGCCGCCTGCTCAGCATTCTCGCGACGGTTTATCATGAGCTCGTGCTTGAGTTCTACACCACCTTCAAGCATGCAGCCACGGCCGATTGGAAGGACGAAGCTGCAGTCCAGTTCCGACTCGGCGGTGAACCACGCTCTATGAGTTACGACGAGCTGGCGGACGCCCTCGGCCTCAACATGGTCAACGATAGGGACTACATCACAGAGATCGCCGAGCCTGACAGGGTGGACTTCGGGAGGCTGTACTTCAGCCTCGCTCGGCCTCGTCAGCTTCCCTTCAAGGCGGGGAAGACGAAGGCCAGCACATTGCAGCTTGAAAACCGTCTCCTCCATCACATGCTGGCCAAGTCTTACACCCCAGCCTCAGACAGTGCCAGCGCCATCACCAAGAGATCCCTGTACTTCATCCAGTCCATGCGCCAGAGGGATCATCCCCTACACTTGGGCTCGGTGGTGGCGAGGACCTTCGAGAAGAGTGCTTCTGAGCTGAAGAAACTCCACTGCACTCCCCTCATCACCTGCCTGGCAGAGTACTTCCAGATATCCCTGCAGGGGTGCACAGAGCAGGGAGGGACCACTCCCTTTGGCCGGGCTACGCTCACCAAAATGCTCCTACTTCGAGAAGAGCGAGGTGTCATGTGGATCGAGGGGTTTCCTCCACCTCAGATTCCAGAGGCGGTCTAGCAGGAGGTTCCAGAGGGTGCAGCTGATGCGGAGGTCCAGCCCGAGGACGTGGATGACACTGCTGCCGCCCGCCCCACCACCTTCGAGTACGGGGGTGGCAGTTCTAGTTTCCCGGGGCAGGATTACTTCACCTCCCAGTTCGAGCAGCTGCGTCTCCAGAACCAGCAGATCATCGACCATCAGATGCAGTTCCAGCAGCAGTACGCGGCTCACCAGGCCGAGTACCACCAGAGGATGGCTGGTTACGATGAGAGATTGGACCAGCTCCAGACCCAGCAGGGAGTGACTCTCGCACACATCGAGCGAGAGAGGCGCCGTTCACGGCGCATGCAGGAGGTCCAGCAGCATTTACTCCAACTGCTACCGGGCGAGCAGCCAGTTTGGAGGACTCCCTGGGAGGACTCTCCACTTCCACCTCCCCCAGCGGATGGTGATGATGGTGCTGATGGTGGTGACGCCTTCATGAACGACATCGTCTTCGATCTGGATAACCTCGGCGAGGAGTAGGCTGTACTCGTTGCCCATCTCAGTGTGTTTTGTTTTTCGTTTTAGATTTTTGTGTGTTTGCTCCATTTGTGAGGAGCTTGAACTTAGTGTCGTTTCTTTTTTATTTTGTTTTTTTTCTTTTGTGGATTGTTTTTGCTATAGCCGTCTGGGCTAGCACTTATCCCTAACACAGTGTGCTAGTGTGTTCTTGGTGTTCGATTCGTGCAGAACTGTCCATCTTCCCGTTTGTTTCTCGCTGACTGGTCCACTTCCAGTCCCCCAGCAGTTTCAATCCGGTAACATCATTCCTACCCCTTCTCTATCCCTCTGCTCCATTGAGGGCAATGTCGTGCTTAAGTGTGGGGGGGTGCTTTGTATCGGTTGGAATGTATATATGTGTGCTTGGAGCCTAGTCCACTGTCCAAATCTCGAGATTTGAGGGCTCCAAGTACTGCTGTTTGATCATATTGGCACTGTGTTTTGATTGGTGAATTGAATGGTTTTCGGATTGATGCATGACAGCTTGATTGTGACTAGGACAGCCTATGATGAGGACTAAGACGTGCAGTAGAGTTGTGTAGGGGGTTCAGTTTTTCAACTGTTTGCTTACCAACTATGACTTGGATTGATTACTTGTTCTTGACAGTCTCTTATGCATCTAGTTCAGGGTATCAGAATGTGAGATAGAGCATATAGGTAGCCATGTGAGATTTGAGCCTGCTCGTTTTTTTTCTTGTGCGATAGATCCCTCTTCCATGATGTGTAGCATTCACGTTGTCACTAGCTAAGATGATGGGGGCATAGGATTAGCCCACGACCAAATTTGACTGTCCTGATATGTCATATCCCCTAGTCAGCCCTTTTGAGCCGTGTGTTATTCTTTCTTTTGGTCTGAAATGAAAAAAATCACCCTGTTTGCATCTTTTAGAAGGTTCCACAGAGTGGGTTTTACATATTCTCTGCTGTTTCTGCTAAATTTGATGTGAGTGTTGGAGGTAGTGCTTAAAAGTTGAGCTGGGCAGGTATTTGAAATATATGCAGAAGTGGGGGCTCTCTTAAGAAATGAAAAGAAAATGAAAGAAAAACAAAGAAAAATTGAAAGCAAAGAGAGCCACTACCAAAAATCTGAATAATGCCCGGTAAGTAGTGTTTCTTAGCAGTCTGGCTTGGAAATGCTGACATTTTTACCTCCTTCGCTCTTGTGCTCTTGAGCTATTGAGTAATGCAGAATAGCAGAAAGGAAATATCGGTTTGTTTGACTGTGATTGTTTGGGTTTGGAAATGTGGAACCTTGTGCTATGAATGCTTCCACCACCTAAAAGGCCTTTTCCCCATGTCCAAGACCCTAGCCAGTCATTTGAACCTGTGTCTAAGACCTCCTGATTAGTTAGTGGTGACACCCCATATGTGAACTCTAGCATTTAGAGGGTGCCATCATGGTGAAGAGATGTTAGGAATTGAGAGAAATAGCATGCGCATTTTTCGCATCAAATTGTCCTGACCCCACTAGTCGAGAGTGAGTGATTCATTTTCATATTCTATATACTCTTGTACCCCGGTGAGGACCTAGACTGCTCGGTCTCTATTCTGATGTCTTGAGTTGGATGCATGAGTTGAATGTTTTGAGTAAGTGGTTGAGTCAAGTCTAGGTTGGTTGGTGAACAGAAGGGAGACTCTTCCTTTACTCGATTTTGCTGCACTCGACTGTCCTTGGTGGTGGTTGTCCAGGTTGCTATTGAAGTTGTTCATGTATTGATGTTTGAAAACCAGTACGATTCACGTGTTCTGTGCCTTTATGACTTGTCCCCAATGTTGGTTGATTGAAATATGTGAGCTTACCTTGTGTCTGACTTGGTTTGCTTGGGGACAAGCAAACGGTTAAGTGTGGGGGAGTTTGATAGACCGTTAATTACACTAGATTTTACCCCTGTTCTCACACCGTTTGAGATGTGATTTCTCGTGTTTTAAGCCGATTTCACGCTAGGTTGTGCTTGTTTGTGATATTTCAGGTCCTAGTACGTGAATGGAGGCTTGGGAGCGAGTTTGGGGTCGATTGGACGAAGATCGGGCGCGAGGCAAGTCACAAAGGAGGCCACACGGGCACACCCACAAATCACACGGCCGTGCAACTCATATTTCTGGCCGTGTGAGATTGTGCGAGAGCAAACACGGCCTGCCCTGACAACACACACGGCCATGTGAAGAAGTGGCTTGGCCGTGTGACTTTCGCCGAGAGCAAACACGGGCAGATGGAAGTCACACACGGCCGTGCGACCCTGGCCGTGTGAGAAGCCTGAAAATCAAACTAAGTGGAACGCAGCGTTTTGACTCGCACGGGCAACTGGGTATGCCACACGGTCGTGTGGCCCTGCCCGTGTGAGTCGGGATTTCCTGGTTTTAACCTAATTCCGGGCTGCAAGAGAGAGAATCGGACTTTTTGAGCAAAAACAGAGCCCTAGAGAGAGAAAGGACGAAGAACACATCCTAGAAGCCATCTTGGAGCTGGGTTTCATCAAATCAAGCTTGGAGATCGTCATAGGAGTGGAAATCATCATCCCAGAGCAGATTCTTCCCATCAGTATGAGTATGGCTGCTTTGTATCTTGTTTTCCTCTCTCTCTCTATGGAGTAGAACCCCTCTCTCACTTGGGGATGAAGAACCCTAGTTCTATGTGTTAGGGATTGATTGTAATGACTTGGGAT